GGCGTTATGGAGCTCGTTTCCAAAGCTTCTGACGCATTTCACAAATTTGCACGCTGGGCGTGTAGCTACGTCCCAGTAGCTTTCAGTAGCCTTTCCTCCTCACACATTTCTGCGGCTGAAATTTGTTTCCCAGTAGGCCTTGGGAACTTTAGCACAGCCTTTGGTTTAGCCAGTCGAAAACTTCGGCTGCATTAAATTTCCGGGCCCGACGTCAGTAGACCCCTAATGTTTCTCCTGCACAGTAACTGTATCAACGGAGAGTTTTACATTTATGCTGATGGGCGTTTGCTGGGGCTGCGATGAACTACCATTGTGCTCCTTAAGTACCTGTTCCCCATTTTACACACAAACAGTTTCGGACTTGATCAGCAACGTGTTTTGATAAAATATTAGCACGCTTATCGTTGGCGAAGTAAGGTATATGACGCTGGATGGTTACTTTTTTAGCATTAAATACACACGTCATTCCATGCGAGGTATCAACTAACAGTCAAGCAAATGCAACTGCACAGCGACTGTGGACACACTGAGGTGGCGTAGATATCATTCTTTTTGTTGTGGACCAGATTACTACCGAAGGTTGTACATCACCTCCAGGCGATTGGACAAAATATTTTGGTATTACAATCTCCTCTGCCGTAACACGGCCTGAATATGTGAGCACAGTCCTATTGAAAGCCGAAAGGCTGTGTCATCAAATTTAGCTACAGTGACTATGTAATTTATTCGCTTGCCCCAAGAGCAGTTAAAATGGTATTTTGGTCATTTTGAGTTATGCTTTCTTGAGTTTTTCTCTTCGAGCTTTTGAATGAAAAAGTACTGTCCAGTACCATAATTTATACCTTGAGAACACTTCTCACACATTTGGTTTGCTATTTCTACTCGGTGTTTGATGAACGCGCAAAGCGTAAACTGCTAGCAATAGTCATGTCCTGTTGGAGGGAATTGATCGATATTGATAGATGAGTTGAGGGAGAGTTAAAGAACTACCGAGTTCGGATATGACGTACTTTTTATCATATCCAGAATAGAAATGGATAAAATTTCTCGGAGCTAACAGCTACAGAGTGAACAGAAGCGGAATATTCCAATTGTTACTGAGTTATTACACTACGAGATGCGGATGTAGTCCGGTTGAAAAAATAATTAAATAAAAGAATAAACAATATTTAAATAAAAAATATAGACGATTAATAAAAACGGTTCCGGCACACCGTTGTTCAATAAGATTCTGGGAGACCAGAACAAACATCGTGAGAAGAAAGGCAGGGCCACAGGGAACGGCTGAACCACGGATAATGAAACAACTCTGTGTTGCTGGGGGCAAACAACTGTTTACATTTTGATCCGAGTCACTCCGTAGAAAAGGTAGGGCTTAGTGCCACGTCCATCTCTTTTGTGTCCGGCTATCCCCGTGGATCCGCACAGCTATTGTGTTTAGAAATATTGAAAACCTTTGATTTTTAATCTAAGCCGAGAATCGCGTCCCAATATGTATAGCCTTAAGATGAAATGGCTCTTTAAGCGGCATAGTCCCACAGATTTTGGCAAGATTTCGGAATCTTGTCGGTTTGGTTTGTCTATGAGAAACTTTTGTACCGGTTTGCAATTACGCTTCTGGAGGATGTTAGATATTCCGTGGTTCATCTGCCCTCATCGCCCGCCAGGTGGGAGCCTTTGGAAATCAATGCACGACTATATTTGGTAAAAAAAATAAGAACTTCTCGCCTGTGACTGTTTCCAAGTTTGAAAACAATCAGTGTTTAGAACGTTTGACAGTGGGGTTAAAACGCTTTTTCAATCATCATTCGGATCACTATTTTTTACTGTCTCACTGTTTTTACGGCCTCACGTCTAAAGCCTGCTTGCGGCTTTCGCTTCTCTTTGACCACCATCCGCAGTTTGTTAAACGGTTAATTTAATGAAAAAGAGCAATAACAGTCTTGGACATTAAGCGCCTCTTTCCAGTGGTAGGCTTTTCAAATTGTATAAGGGTGTTTTCAGCTGGACGGTAATACTGGCAGGCAAGTTCTCCTTGGAACGATCACTAGCGTTCAGTTGTTTTTATACCATATAGTTTATAGGGCGTCCGCCATGTATCTTGCCTGCGTGTGTGAACTTAACAAAATGTGGCTCATAAAATGAAATTTTTAATTTTGCTGCAGTCATTTTCACAGCTTTTTACAGCTTAAAACAAAACTGGCTTGTGGGGAAAATGCTCTATTTTACATTATTTATTAGCTCCACTCCAAGTGCACACATGAAGTCACTTATACAGATATATCAGCATATTCTTACAGCCAATTGATTGTCTAGTTATTTATCCCCACTAAATGTTCTAAAAACAACTCTTAACTCACAACATTAATTTGTACAATATGAACTGGCGCATACACAACAGACGATTTTATCGCTTTAGAACTTCTCCGAAGAACAATAAAATCACAAGTACATTATTGTTTGACATCTAGTCTTGCTAGCCAAGGTGAACAATACCAAAGTACCCCCCCCCCCAAATGCTACTTTTATGGTCTTCTGGACATCTTAAAATTGCATACCTAAATTGAAATGATCTGTGGACATGTAGACAAAAAGTGGATCATTCTGGTAGCCTGTGTCTGAGTCAGAGCACTTTCGAAAATTGCAAGCTTGTCGTTAGAGTTTGCTAAAAACTGACTGTCTGTTAATAACTTCATCTAGGTGATGAGGGACCTTCCAGATGTAGCAATATTACTGCGACTTCTATAGGTTTGAAAACTAACTATCCATTTAACTAAGTCAACTTTGCATATAAGTTATCTGGCATAATAGGGGGAATAAAAGATCGCCAAAAAATAATAAATAGTTCATGCAACTGTGTACGGCCACGTATTTCAAGTTCATCGAAACAAGGTTGAAGCGTGTTTAACGCCGAAAAAGTTTTAAAGTGCAAAAAAGATGCATTGGCAGCAGACTACCTAATGACGTGCTTACGAATTGCTTTTGGATTTCCAGAAAAACGGCAAATTTTTGGTTTTTGCCTTTTTTAACATTTCGAAAATGGTTCCATCGAATCTGCAGTTAAACAAACAAAACCGCATGTTCGGTTGTCTAATGGGTAATCTAATCGAGATGTCCGTTCAGCACTAGAAATGGCGAAGGCTAAACCATGTATTGCGCACGTCAAATCACTGTTCAATAAAGAGAGCGCTGGTTTTCTTGGCCACTTATTAGTAAGACGAGCCGAGCCTTCAACATTAAACATATTCCAAAAATTTCGGGTACTGTCTTTGCAACTTCTCTATCAGGGTGCGGTGCGCGTGATTACACCTGTGCATGATTAGAGATGTTGAAAATTGTCCCGGCATATAACGTCAGTAGCGTTCTTGTTATGGGTTTCTAGCCAGACTGCCCGAATGAGTATCTGGATGTGTGAATACCTTACAACTGTTGTAGTAGGCCATCGTTTATTTTTTAAACTGCACGATCACAGACATAGAAAGTAAGTGCAGGCGATGAATGTGGATGGGCTACAGAAGACTATTAGACAAAAAGGGAGGATCGTCTCTTTCGAAGTCATGTCAACAACAATACCAGTCAGACAAGATGAATCTCAGCGTATGTAAGAATATTTGATAACAGTGTTTGGGAATGTTTGGGGAACAAGCGTGTAAAGACCAACAACCGAGGAAAGGACAAACAATGATGAATGCTCTTTAAGGTGCGGTAAACGCTAGCGCAGTCAGGAGTGGCACTTTAGGTACAGTTTCCGTCATATCGGGTCTGGTGTGAGATTCAATGGCAGGAATGTATACTTAGCGCCATATACCACGTATGAGTGTCGTAAGTACGCAGAGAGCACACAATGGCAAGCAAATACCAGTCACTGACTGTGATCTTAGGACGTTCCAGTTCGATAATGGCATTGGCGGACTGGGGAAAGCAGATCCCTCGATAAAAAATGATCATTGGCTGGCACACCAAAAAATCGAGATCACCACCAATTGCACGTAGGGCTGAGATATTGGCAAGGGAATATTCACCGGCACCATGCTTCTGCTTCTTCTCATTCCAGACAGTCACTATGCGAAAATATTTTAAATCAGTTACGTTCTTAAAGCGGCGAATTATCTGTGACTTACAATGGTGTAATTTTTTCGATGACGATTTTCAGGCAAATGATAAATAATGATAATATGTGCAAGTAGGTGACAACTATATGATCAAAACGACCCAAGATTGAAAATGATGATTGCATCTTTGGTGCAACCGAGCTTTCGGCCGAGCAGTTTGTGTTTTTCATACCCCATTTTCTTAGAGAATGCCATCCTGATGGAAAATGCCGGTGGCATTTTTTCTTCCTCCTGCTCAGAAAACACCATTTGTCGATCTCTTATTGTGCAAAAAACTCAATTGCAGGGTTTTTGCTGTTCATACTTTGGGATGCGGTAGCGAAAGCGTCATTTTTATCGAAAGACCAGCTGTTGAGAAGGGCGGATCAAGGTGGCTAATAAAATCGAACACACACTGGCACAGTGGTAGATAGTCTTTGTTCAGGTGTCCTTATTAACTATTTGTCTGATGACAAAGCCAGGCATATCTTTGCCGAAATATTCATGCTCATTTGAGAATGGTCTGAAGATTGTGACATCATTTGATGTGCCATAAAACCATAAACAAATTTATGGGAACCACTGAGAAGGGAACCCCTCTGTACCGAGGGGACACGATGGTGTAACATATAATGAGCTGGACAAACCCATCAGCGATAATATTCCAAGTGATATCATTAAGGTGGTGTGGCGGAATTAATATGGTCTCATCGGTTTTGTGTGGAATTCTAGTTGGTTTTATTGTTGGTTCTGCACTGTAGAAGCAATTGAAAAGAATTATGTTTAGGCACTGGACGCGTTGTAATTAAAATGAACATTACAAACTGAATAAAAGAAGTATTGTGTTCATTCTAAATTTTGTGCAATGCTTGGCTGTAAAATAAAATGGAATGCCTACATGATTTACAGGAGACAACACCCAAAGAGCTTGCGCTTGCACTCAAAAAACGATTGAAGGAGTCGGACTGTGAAAGTAGGGGATATATGATTGTTGGTTTCCCAGTCACCGAAAACCAGGCCAAAGCGCTCAGATGGGAGGGCATTTTTCCAGACTATACAGGTAAGCAGTGATTTATTAACGATAACCAGAATCACACTAGTTTTTCTTGAGGCTCCAGTGGAAGCGCTGATAGAACGGCATAGCGGAAATCGTATCGATCCGGAGACTGGGGGTAAGTGAATCTTTACCTAATGGTCAAACGATTGCAACTTTTAGAAAGCTATCACCTGTTGATGAAGCCTCCTCCGAACCTCCAGGTAGAAAATCGATTGATTCCGCATCCGGACTTCTCTCCGAACGAGCTTAGGGAAAAGATTGAAGCATACAAACGTGAGAATTTTGTTTTGCAGCAAATCTACGCCACATCGGCTCGGATGTTTAACGCAGATCAACCGCTGACTGATGTGTATGCGAGTGTATTGGCATACGTGGCACAACCACCCCGAAGCTTGGCCCTAAGAACTCCACGAATCTTGTTGCTTGGATATGTAGGTTCCGGACGTAAAACGCAGGCAAAGCTGCTGGCTGGCAAATATGGCTTGGTACCTGTGGACTGCAGTGCTTTGATTAATCAGGAGATCGCTTCTGCTTCCCTTCGTGGCAAAGCAATGAAGAGTTACGTGGCAAGAAATATGGCAGGTAAGTTTACGCTCAATGGTGCGGCTTTAAGTTGAAGTAAACCACTTAGCAGACCTGCGGCCTTAATCCGGTGACAAAATCAAATTTTCCTTCCTGAAAACTTAGAAAAAAAATTACGAAGAACAATACATATTCTCAATTTCATGGGTCCTTTGTAAAATGTGCTGTGTGAAGAGGCACTCCTTCACCATGCTGTCGGATTTCAGCACAAATGCCTGTTTGTTGGAAATAAATGTGTCGTTTTTTCTGAATCAGCACACCTAACACAAGTTGCGAAATCGCGTGCAAAGATGTCAGGAGCAAAAGACAATGAATCGATTTCCCGAGGATGACAAGCCTGGAATGTTGGATCATGAACCATAAATGAAATAAAAAGAGTAGTATCTACGTAATGCCCCACTCTTGAGGTTGCTGAAAATTCTTAGACAGCACACGACCGTTTCCGCCCTTCTTGGGGCTCGTCAGGTAGGTGCGGTCTCCAAGTTCCCTTCACCCTTATGTTCCATATGAACCTAAATTGCACGAAGTTTGCGAGCTGGAACCCATTTGAGTCTATCGTTTGTAATGTTTCCAGGCAATTGAATGTGGAGTAGTCTCTCGCAAAACCAAATTTGTTTGTAAATGAATGTGTTCCATTGCTCCTGGACTGGTACAATTAATTCTTAGTGTTCCATATTGCTTTAGAAAACACGCAATCATTTGTTTTAGCACAAGTTTGTATGCTCCCCAAATATTTATGTTTGCTCTACTGAGTTTGTCTGTGAAGGATTTTTCATTGGTGCATCGATCCTTTATTCACACACAGCCACACTATTATATGAATTCATTTTTGGGGTAGGTATTCTCTGCAATGTAGCGCAGACACGGGGTCATATTTAGCCATGTACAAAACTGCGAAGTTAAGCGATTGGTGTGTACATTGAATTGCACAGCATCTCGATACTGAAAGAGTGCCCCAGATGGACCATTATTAGCCCGAAGTTCCGTTAACTTAACCAGTCTCTTTCGCCAAAATTTAACTAAATACATGCAAATTATCCCTCCCCCAATGAGCAAAATGCCACATTTTCATGGTAGAGTTTCCGCTGGGCTTATTTTAAACCCTCTGTGCATCCTTGGAGGGCGTAGATAATTTAAAAAATCAAAATCCCATCCGGTGTATGAATCCAGAAGAGCCACAATAGTACTGTGTGGAAGTTATCTGTACCGCTTTCCCAAACCGATGAACTGTCAATCTAATTTATCTTTGTTGTTGACGTGCATGTTGAATGTGAGGAATTGCAAACGGGAGGACCCGGCTAATGGTTCTGCAACCCTACTAGAATTCTTTTTTGTCAGGAACGATCAAGCATTATTTGACTTTATAGCTGAATTAGCCTTTATCCGAATAAAAGTATACTGCTCTACTGCTCATAACATAAGTTCAAGACTTTCATTGTAATATGACATTATTTTCTAATGATTGCTTATTAATGCGAGTTGAACCTTTGGATGGTCACTTCGTGAGGTTTACAAATTTGATCATCGCACAGATCGCTATCCCTTAGTTCAGTTAATTATCCGATCATGGTGTATGCAGGATGTGAATCCATAAACGACGTTTGTCAAAACTTTTTGCTTGAAATGGTCCGCTTTGTAAACCCACATCACCATTAGTCAGTCACGACTAAAAATGCGTTGCGATGGATAGAAAATATGAAAGCTAAGGAGAAGGATAATTGTGGGAGCAAATGTGCCAAACTTAATACATGGACCCATGGAAATTATGCTCTGCGTCAGTGTAAAACACGATCGTTTTCGTTTCCACGCAAAGTGGGGGGAGTTTCAAAGTGTACGGTGGGATGTGCCAAACTTGTGCTATCACCGTCCGGAACGGATGCAAAAAAAGTAGTTGGCAGCTCGGTAACTTTGGTGTCATACGTGCTAGATGTCCGCCAATTCAACCAAATCTAGGTGTATATTATATATATATATATATCTGGTAAAAAAGATAAAATGACCGGCGTCGTCATCACCTTAAAGCTGCAAAGTAGGCAGGCATCTATAGAACGGACGAGTGGGGTTAATTTGGAGGAAATCCTCTGCCACATGTCAGCAGAACCAAAGTTAATTGTAGCCCAAAGGATGATAGGAAACTGTTGTGTAGGCTTGTAGCAATACATATATAATGGATAAGATCTGCGCAAGATCTATTATGTGTTACCTCTAAGACCTCCAAAAGACGGTATAACAATTATTAGCTTGCACTTCAAATAAAAGTAAATTAGTACACAGGATACCTTCCAGGTTCATCAATACTTTGTGCAGGATAACACCAAGGGCATTGCCCTTAAATCAAATATCCCATATATTATTCTGGTAAAATCCGTTATTCCTTGGGAGGTGGTTTCCTGTGAGTGAGCCGAAAGTGGCGAAAAAGGCTGCAGTTAGACAACACTCAACCCAAGGCTGTTTAAAGCACTATCGAGTCCGCATAACTACTTAAAGGATCCGATTGATGATGAAACAAATAAGAATGGTGTACCATCATCAAACAATATTTTAGTTTGAGATTGCATGTTACTGCATGTTATTATTACAATGTTTTAATTCTTTCGGTCCCTGTTTGAGGAGGCCGCTTTCAAGACTGCCCAACCATCACAGCGGTATCTTGAAGCAAAGCTCGGCAGTAAGCATCATCTCAGAAGGAAATCCTGTTGTTCCATCTTTTGATATTGTCTCTTAACAAGGACTAACTGTATATAAAATTACCTCGAAACGGGTGTTATTAACTAGTCGTCAGAATCCCACTTGCCCAGTAGTTTCTCAATAATTTCTTACCTAAGTCCCTGTACCACTATAATAGGGCGTGAAAAACAGTGAAATAACTGGCGCTGTGAGTTCATCTGTTTTAGCGAAAGCAAAGTTTCAAAGCGTATCTGTTTACGGCCCACCAACGAATTTCTCCCAGAATCACTGGATCTCTGATCCAAAGCCGTCAACTGCTTTCTCCTAAATGAGTATTTCTGCGAATAACTGGTGGATGAAATACGACTTGTTTTGTGCGACCGTAACCCGACGTAAAAGCACTCAGAGCTTACCTGAATAAGTGGGTTCATTTTCAAAATTCTGGAGAATTCTTCCGCAACGTTTGGTGAACTGGTATACCGATATGCGATTACAAATGTTTTTAAGAAGTAAACCAACCCCCATTTGGCGTATACTTCCCATGAGACCCCTCCTCAGAATGTTTGAACGGCACCATGGAAAGACTGATATTAGGTTCTGGCATTCGTTCTGAGATACTGTTCGGCACGCTTTTCTCTAAATGGTGTTCTATCCATATCCAACTAATCTCAGACTGCTCAAAAATTAGGCATTTTGATTATTTGGCTTCACGCTTATCGAACTGAATGAAGAGTGGGAAAATATTTACTGGACTCATGGTTTGCGCAAATCTTCATTACTCCGTGTATTTCCTGGCGCTGCCTCACAATTCAACTAGCGGTCGATACATTATTTTTAACGGGGCTTTGCCAGAAATAAATAACTGTCCAAAAGATTGTACCATCGCTCTATGCCCATATTATTTGAATACCCGAAGCATCTGCAATCTGTACGAAAAGTAGATTATTTTAGGAGAGATTTCAGCTCGCAGATTCGGTTAGTCCATATTTTACTACTGTCAAGAATCACCAACATTGCGGGGAATCCGGTTAGCAACTGCACATTTGGCCATCCCGCCATGACTGGCTTATTGGCAGTGTGTGTAATTAGCAAGTGGAATGGAAATCCCCATCAAAATATTCATACTATCAACAAGTAGTCCCTTCAGAAGGGGAAGGAACCTCAGTTCGTATGAATCTTCCGTCATCACTCGACAGCTAACGAAAAGATAACCGCCCGACGGGAATTGCGTCGTTAAAGGACGAATGATGATATATCCTGATACAGTACAAGTTATCCATTCTGTTGGTTGACCGAGTGGTACTGCTCATGGCTGCGTGGTCTGTGCATAACCCACTAACTGGAAAGTTGCGAGTTCGAACCCCTTTTAAGGAACTTAGGGTGGGTACTGTTAGTGGTTACTAATGAATGTACAAGGCTCCATAGCTCTTTCGCTTTTGGAATAGACTAACATTGCTGAAGGGATGGAATCTGCATAAAAATCTCTAAAGTTCTCTGATAATAGGGAAAACAACCTGTCATGCACATTGTGCCTTTTTTATACTAATCACAACCAAAGCATTTCAGACAGCTTCAAATGAGATCATTTTTTCATGTCATTTCATTTTTTCATCTAGTTCCCGATTCGATTGTTGTGGAGACAGTAAAATCACGACTGACACAACCCGACTGCACTACACGGGGCTGGATTCTCCACGGCTACCCTCGGAGCAAACAACAGGCTGAGCTTCTGGACGCTGAGGACTTGACACCAAATCGGGTGTTTGCTCTGGATATCTCACATATCTGTGCAGCCGAAAGACTTACTGGCCGGCGAATCGATCCGGTAACTGGGCAACGTTTTCATCTGTCAAACAGGCCACTTGACGACGATCTGTCGGGACAAATGCTTCAGAATCCTCAGGATCGAGAGTGTGTGATAGGATCCAAACTGGCCATGTTTGCTGCCCACAAGGAGCAGTTGTACGAGTACTACGCATCAAACCTCGTCCACATACATGCAGACGTGGACATACATACGGTATTCGAAGAAATTGAGTCCGGTTTGGTGAATCCATTACCTCAGGATAAATCTACAAAAATATGATGAGGTCGTGCTTGCTCAGTCCACTTTAGGTGTGAAAGGTGAATTACGAAGCCAAATGATGAAACCATGGTGTACCATGCATATCATATATAAATAAAAAATTTCAACGTCAACTGGCTTCTTACATACAGCAAATATTACCCTTAGAAGTTAACTTGGGCAACTTTGAAATTTTTAGAGACAATGCATCCAGCCACTAAGGATCCGTTACTTATCAAGTACGTGGATGACAACTATTTATACAATGTATTCGAGGTAAGTATTGTGAAACAAACACACGATAGGAAAAGTTATTCAGGGGTTTTGCTGAGTGCTCTTTTTCGTGTGCCATTACATACCTTAGTTGCAGATTCGGTAGGTACGCCAAATGAGATGCATCAGTACTCAAACTTGGGGTTTTAACATTAATATTGATATTAGTGATAGTACTAATGACATCCCAAGTGGAGGATGAATGGACGCCTCATCATACAGTCTTTCGGTTTCGACATTCATTAATCAAAATGCAATGTTGCATTTTTTTAAAGGCATACCAATGTGGGCTTTCATGCCGTTGTCTTCAACCTTTCAAGATAAATTCTCTGGGATCTGCCGGCTGACTGATTGACTGACTGACTGAAACAGCATGACGTCCAGCATACTGGATAAGGCCGTACGTATCAGTGTGATGGATAATGAAGGAGCGGCAACATTTAACATACCAAACTCGGGCACTGGCTTGCGCGAACCATAGTAAAAAATTTTTAAACTATATCCCCAATACTTCAGTAAATATTCTCAGGTATGAAACAAAAGATACTGAGTGCAGCTGGGGGCGTTGTCATTCACCTTTACAATCTCAAAACGTGTGAATAAATCACATTTGTCAGACGTTTATTGCTTACCTAACCAAGCCATAATCACACAAGCTAATGACCCAGCAAGCGATGATTAGAATTGTACCCCCTAAATTTGGCCATAAGTACATGTTTGCTTAACCAACCTAACAGGGTTTCGTTGGCATCAGTCACCTGTCGTTTTAATGTTTTTTTGTAATAACTGATCTGCGGTGTAATACCCTTTCATTTCTGACTGTTTCCAAGTCGATAGGACGCTAATGCACTGAGTCAGAAATTCGTTGTTTACTCCAAAACCTTTTCTTGAAAATTACCACTGAGCCTACTCTGAATGCATACTTCGTTTACTATATTCCGGTATCAGTGATATACATAAACGTTACGTAAGTGACTGGCAGATCACAAACAGAATTCTTCGAGGATAGTCTCATATAACGACCAGTTAATATGCTAGTGGATACGGCCTCTCTGTGTTTGATTTTTTTGCTGAGAAATGCGGGTATTAAATATCTGAGGTCTTATTTTTGCAGTCAATAAATTTGTTCACGACGCTTGACATGTACCTTCGCTCATTTCGGCTATTGGATTCTCTAGGCTTTGGTCAGTGGCCTGGCCGTAATGGTTCCAGAAGCACCTCGAGTATGGATTGTGGAGAAGTTGGGGAAAGTATATGATATTGGAAATGAGAATGTGCGCTGGTGAGTGCTATATAAATGCTGCGCAAATGTAGCGCTGAAAATCCAACACCCAAACCGATTTTTTTAATTTATTATTTTTACATTATTACCTTTCATCGATAAAAACCGACTTTTGGTTGGTTGCTGACCGAGAAATCTGAAGAGTTTTAGTTACGTGACGGTTATTTTATACCTTATGGCCCTCTTTCGATTCTAAGGTCAGTCCACTAATGTTACTATTCGTCTTACAATTGAGTAACAAAGGTATTCTAACCCGTTTCCCTCCCTCTTTATAAACTACTATGAAGTTGTCGCCAATTACTGCAGAATGCTTAACGTACCACTCATTCAAGTCACAAAAGTCCTTCTCAAGACCTCATGGTATCCAAAAATTCCGGATTGGAATGAATGTTGCCAACTTATTCATCAGCATCCCATCCAAAATCCTACAGCCTATTTTGGATTTCATTCACCTGAATTGATATCATATATATCGTACAGGTATCTTGCAAGGTTGCGCCCAATGCCAACACCGGAAACACTAAGACAGACCTACAATGACTATCAGTGTTGTCCGCATACCCTGCCACTAAAATAGCCATTCATGAAGTTATTTCGACCTAACTTGAAGTCACAGTGGGGTGTTGGATTTCCCATTAAACTGCAATTCTAGCAGTCGTTCCATACGACATTGGATGGAATTCAAACAACACATAAATCGCAATGTGTAACTGGTTCCCTGTACGATTACATGCCGACAGATGTGTAGCTAAGGCCACGCCGGATGATCATTGTACTCCATATCGATGGGTACTGGTCTGCTTCTGATGAGCATTGGAACGTGACAAACAGTCGTTGCATTTTATCCTGAGGAAACGACTGAGCTCTGTATCATAATCGCTGTTTGCGTGGTAGGTCCCAACACTAAGGCCTGTACATGCCTCCATGACAAAAGGCCAGAGGTAGGGTGGATGAAATTTGTGAAAACTTTCAAGCATTTCAAGGAACTTCATTATCGTTTTTGAGAAAGCGTCATTTAGTGGATTCACGCAAGCACAGACCAAACGCAGCAAAAACCCAGTACTATTCACCACTGTCAATGGCTTAAAATCTGCTGGTGATCACCGGTAAGAGGAAAATAGCTTTGTCGTCAACTTCCCTTTTGAAAATTACCGGATCGTTTCAACGATATACTAGAACTTTCATTGTGCTGGTCTAGTATGTATAGCCACAAAGGTTGGCATCCCCTAAATGTATAGTCCATTAATGGAGGGACATTCTTTTTCCTGCCTTCGTATTGGTTGGGCAGCGTCTGTCTGCAGAAAACTGCAAGTGGACAGAACATTTGTAGTTTGTTTAGGAATATGAAATAAAACGCGACGGAATTAGATTAAGATAAAGTGAAAGATGAACTGTACACCTTCAAACGCTAATCCAACACTGCTAAGCCGTTGGGGATGAAGCGGGTTTACTTGACTTTTGATGGACCGGGTCAAATTTTCGTCAAAGCATTGGGACAGCCGGGTGTGCAGTTTCGTATCAGATCTTTTGCGAAGACCGACAGCTATCGCGATAGACCATTCAGCATATTTGGTAATAGTTGAATGTCTTTCTGGATAGGTCAACAATTGACACAGGCCAGGTTGCACACTCCCTATTTTCCCGAGTATTTTACAAATTCATGTAAATTATTCTTACACGATCGATTAAATATTCGGGTGTCAGTTCTCGCCACTTGCTGTAATACCGCAAGTTGCAGGTTACTTATGAAAATATATCGGAAAAAATGCTAGAATGTTGCTTCTTGGGGTTTTTTGTGGACCTTCTGAGTCTGGCAACGAATATCTTCGTCCTATCTAGAACCATATTTACTGCAGATAGCCTTGGTTGAAGGAACAGCTGACAGTTGCCATATTTCTCGAATTTTGAACTTCTACTCACAGTAGGAGGCCAGCAAATCTGGCAGTAAAAGTGAACTTGAAAATATTTGCCCAAATCTACCCTCTAATATACAGCCCATTGCAGTAGACAGACCGCCCTGGAATTGATTATGGGGATTTATGAAAGTTATTAGGGTCGATCGAAGTGACAATGCCAACAAAGCTACAAACTATCGACAACAGACTCAACAATGCTGCTTGTGAAATTGATTGTCAGATGTAGGACTGGTTAGAAAAACAGAAAAAGCGAATAAAACAGCGTCACCTACAATCACCTGGATTAGGGAATATCTGCATTATTTTCAAGCCCTGTTCGTCAACACATCTTCTAAAAGTAAAGTTTCACTAGGTTGTGTAGTGAAACTGAGAAGTATCATAGACATCTGTATTTCAGGGACTCGTTTATTGATCCAAGGATGCGACCACAGCATCCGTTCGTCGCACAAGATTTGTTCCGACAATGGTTTATGAACGCTAGAATTGACGACGTAAGTTCTGTACGAACGTATCTTATTAATCACTGAATTGATAAGCTTGCCTTCTGTTCGAATACGCTTATCCTATCTGAATATGGTCGGCGCTGTGAAGAAATTTTGCAATGCAACTGAAGTGAATGTCAGTAATGCACAATGATGCCAAATGGTTTGCTCGGCTACTCGAATAATTTAGTTGCACATAATTTTTCGCCACCAAATGCACATTATCAATGCGCTGTTAGTGAGTGCGGCGTGGAAATTTATTTCCATTCACATTCACCCAGACTAGCACAAAGTTTACAACTATACTGCCCAGCTCAACAAACAGACCGACGACCAGATCTGATAATTTTTAATTGGGATTTTTCCTGCAAGTGAGATTAATCTTTGCTGAAAAACCGAGAGGCATTGTACAGTTGCTTCATCGTTATTGATTATAATCAACAGTGGTCACCTAGTTGAGCTCCAGGAAATTTCCTGCCAGTGACCTCTCGACAAATAGTTTGAATGCTCAACCATTTGGTCACTGTTGGCTGTTAAGCAGTGTTGGGAAACTGGACGTTGCTTATACTGGTAGCACCATCTTCCACTTGAGAGTAGTGACTCAAGAAACCAGTTAGCACGTGACCACTTGATATGGATTCCTTGATTAAAAAGGAGAAGCTGCTGTACAGTGCTTCTCGGTTTTTCAGCATGAACTGCCTTCATCTACTGAACGGAATTTTAGTTGAAATTACACTGACCTACTAACTTGCTTAAGACATTTGTTTGCAGTGAAGCATAACTATTGACAATGAGAAACGAAACTAACCTATTTGCGATATTCAAGTTTGTGTTCATAACTTTTCAGATTTCGCCCAATGATCGCTACCAGGTGAGCCTATAAAAACGATGTATGCTTTCCTCATTCCATATCCCTGGCCTTTACGTTTTCGAAACCATTGGGTTGATGTTTCTGTTGCGTCCTTGTTATCAATAGCTCAATGAGGTTAAACTATCTGAATCACCAGGCCCAACGTGTACTTCCTATCCAACGTTATGAAAACTTACGGAGGCTTGTCCGAGACATAACTCAAGGTTAGACGTGTACGTTTACGTTTGGGTCAATCACATACTGATTTTCAATGACAAATTGCTCCAGAAAAGCCATCTGTATAAACTGGTTCAGGTGCGTACGCACTTAAGTGATAGCAACTTGTAGACGGTTTTAGGAGTTTCAGAGGTAATGAGGTGGAACTACAACATGTCTACTTCAACCGATCGACATGTCGTACACTAGACCAGTCTCCTTCTTCAATGAAAGTCGTGACAAATTCACCTGATGAATGGAGACGAAAAACCAGTGCAGAAGTTCAGAGTGACATTTTTTATAAGCCAAAGAACACAAACATGGTTTAGCACGCTTTTAACTGTAACCAATTGGTAGGCTTCAACGGTTGCTGTCGATCATTTAAATGCATCGGAAAGCCACTATATTTCTGCACGAAATAGCCTCCGTATCTGAAGGGATAGCATTGGTCTGCTGTAGCAGACCCTCTTGTTTTGATCTTTACTCGCTTTTCCCTGAGGAAACGATCTAAAGTCGACGCAATAGGGATGTTGAGAAATGCTGTCTTCGAAAGCTGTCTGAAAACGACTTATTCCGATGAAACTAGTTTGATAAGCACTTTTTCGTGCGAAAAACCGTCGCCAACCGTGGATTCCAAATTTTGAAGGTAAACATCTAAATACATACCGGTAGTTAGGTGGAGTCAAGCACGGCATCCCTGTTGTGTAATGAACAATCTGGCCACCAATGAGAGACCTGTCACATCAAGGAACACTTCTGAAACTCGTTTAATCTCATTGTTGAACTCCCCGTAAGGGTATCAATTTCTCGCTGAATGGGGCAAGAGATCAGCACAGCTTCATGAATAGTGACACCGCACTTTTTTATGGAGGGGGGGGGGTTATCAAGATACATTCTCCACTTATCCTTTCCGGAATGCTCACCCAGAGGTGAGTTAGTCCGGTTAACATTATGCCAACGTATTTTTTTACTTTGACAAAACAAACTGCTGGAAAATCACAAACTCTAGCCTTAAACCCAATAGTTTTCAAGGCCAATTTTTGGTGGATATTTTACCAAATAGAATACTGTGGAGAGGAAAAATCACATATTGGCTAAATGCAGTCTTAAAAGCTTGTTTATCTGACTGTGTTTAATGGTAGTGACATATGGAGTTACGAAGGGAGAACTCCGTTGACGATAGCAGGAACCCTAACCATTTTCAACCTAACTAGTCACCAGTTATTGAAAAGTTGAATAAAAATTAACCAGGGATTAGCTCAGTTCTCTTGTCAGATAATGAGCTAATTAAATAAAACAGCTGACCAGTTCTAGCGTGACACTGATATGCATCAGCGAGTCACCTATCCAGGGACCGATGAGAAGGATCTTGTGTAATTTCCGGGCTAATGAAACCACTGGTTTCTGTTATAATTTGCTAAATGAATAAGCCATACTGGTCTTACTTTATTTCACGGCTAACTCTCCCTCGAAAATGAATGATTAGGCCCCAAGAATAACCGATAGCGCAGCTGCTTATGAGGTTATGTCCCAGCACAAAGTTATCCAATTCCCGTTCAGCTGTTGGATCCGCCAGACCAGCCTAAACTGTAGACATTCAGACTTCGGGTGTTTCGTAGTCTGGTTGGCAAAGCACTTGTCTCAATCATTGTAGTATGCGCTGCTCCAATTTTACGGAAGTCTAGTGCACAGCGAGTTACATTTCCCGCACAACGTTCAACATTTCAGCCAACATCTGAGATGTTCGTCAAGGCATGTCACACATTCAACCAGAACTTGTTGAAGAAATGCTTCCAGTAAGTCCATTGAATGCACTAGTGATTATTCATGGACATTGCTTCTCGAGATAGTTTGGTAAGTTCTAATGCATGTTTATTGGTTCCAGAAGTATTTCTGTCACTTATGTACAGAGGACTAGTCGGACACCAAGTCGTATATTTCAGACATTATTTGAGTCTGTTGAACGTAACTAATTTTGACGGTAGCAACTGATTTGTGCGAATCTGAGAAGCACTTCGCCCGATTTTTTAGGCGCAGAATTTCAAGGCTTGAATAAAAACATGCGGTTTATTTACCTAGAGGAATTCTTTTTCTTGACTTGCTTAAGTTTTATTCCAAAAGTATTATTGTTGCGTCAACATACTATTCACCTACAGCATGGTATAAAACGCAGTCATCAAGAATTTTGCAAATCCCCGCTGCTACATCATTGGTTAGCGAATGCTTATCAGACATGATCCTGGGCGTATACATTTGTCGAGACACAAGGGAATTGCATGCGCTCAACGAATGATATCGCCTATGGATTGACAGTCGTTGGGGGATAGTTATCCGAGTTAAAACTCGAAAATTCACTTCAGCCTCATTTGTCCGTCCTTCCTGTGCAGGATATATTCTTAAAGTCGTATCCAAAATTGTACAAACTCCAAACAACTTTAACCATGATCTTGAAATTGCCAGATCATCTGGTTTCTAGCCAGCAGTAGTAACAGCACAATGCTTGTTCATAGGGATAAACGAATACCAATGTGAGTACGAATAGTCAATAATGAATGTCACTCTATAAGTTTAGTGAGAAGTGAGAAATTGACGTCTTTTTATCTGACACCACAATCAAAAATTCATCTCCAGAACAGAAGTTGCGGCATTCTTGCTTGTTCAAGGCAACCCTCCTAGGAAGAATACCCGACAAGAAAAAAGGATTTTGGGTCGTGATGTTTGTAGCTTGTACAGGTTGTTGCCGATGATAAAGACCTTTGCAGTGTATCCATAGGGACCACATTTCCTTGGATGGGAATACCGTAAATTTAACTGTATGTACCAATATCCCATGTAAAACTATATGCTAAGTAATACTAATTATTAGGGCAAAATCGTGTTCAAGATCAAGTGACTCTCCCTAAATCTAATTTTCCCCTACATGACCAACATTTCAGAGCGCTGAGACAATTTGTTCGCATTAAAGCGGCTCGCCTAATTCAAAAACAGACGATGATACTGAAAGCGAACAAATTTCGTAACCTTCGGATACTCAAAAATGGTTTTGATGCGTGGTCGAATTGGGCAAGCAACATCTCCAAAAGAAGAGCAGGTAAGATCGACTTGACCACCGACATTCTACGAATTTATTTGATTTTTCACTTAGTAAACAATAATAACTGTAAAGACTGTGATGCCAGAAGTTAGTGACTGGATTTTGAGATTACCACATATATGGTAGTCCGTAAACCTCGAGTAAAAAGTAAGCCTTATTTTTTTGGTAGGAGTAACATTCACATTTGGCATATTGTGCACTGAGAAAACAAAGGTTGAACTCAGGTATTTTTCGATCAGACACAGTCAACTGAATTGACAAGCGTGTTTCTGCTGCTCATTCCCTATCCATGTTCTGATGAGTTTACTCGGTGTTTCGCAGCTACACTAGGCTATATTTTAAGATAGGTAACTAACCCGATAAAACTTATATGAAGCATCTACGGCTCACTGCTGCCGTAGTTCTGGAACACGATATATTCGTTCGTGAAAAAGTTGCTTACCAATGCTTGTTGTAAGAAGCTGACTACATTAGTCCTTGCGTGGAATTGGATGGCTGTGAACCAGATGGAGTCATCTACAGGCCTATCATAAGAAATTCTACTATTGTACAAATTACTGAATTTCTTCTCTTGTGAAAGCCTAATTTCAGAATTCCCGTATACTTTTCCTTACACAGGAAGCAAAAGACAAAAATACCGTCATCAGCGGAAATCCTTTTCTAGCAGTCCTCTCTAGTGCTCAGTTCTCCGGCCAATTCAGCTCGGTGTAGACATTTACCCACAGTTAACCTTTACACCAGATTGTTGATGTCTTCTCCTCTCTAAGGCCAGCCCTAATGGTTTTTTGTTTGTTTATTTAGTCGCAATTTCTCGAATCCGTCAAGTGCATGAGGACAACTGCATGAAATTATGTGTCCGAAAATGGAGAAAGGCCGCCAGAGATGCTCGAGAACTTAAGGAAAGATTCAAAGTACGTATTCCAAAGATTATTGAAATAACGGAAAATTAGAAGATATTCACAGGAGGAAATTAGTACATCTCTATTTCTACCATTACAAGAGGGAATCAACCCCAGAGAAATCTGTCATCTGCTAATAAATAACCGATCCATCCCTTGTGATCGTCATGCTAGGTTAAACAATCGTGATGATGAGGAATGTCCGTTAGATAGAGAGAAAGTAAACATTTACCTAAAAGAATAATCTGCCAGGCATTTAGATCGTTTAGACTCGTTTGTTACCTTTTTAACATTCGCGGCGTTTTACTGATTAGTGTCCATAGATTTGCCATTAAGAGGAAGATGGATTTTGCCTTAGCCGTAATAAAGAATATAGTAAAATTATATATCTCTGACCGAACTTCTTTTTAAACTAGTAAACAGATAACTTTAGTAGCTCCCGATTTTGCAAGAACGTTCCGGAAACGAAGTGGACGTAAGCAGTGCATTTGACAGGCGATTGTTCGAGTGTCATCTAACAGGCTCATCTGAGTATACAAATAAAGGTGAGAATGAAAAGAACACAAAAGTCCGAGGAGAACAAATAAATAAATAAACAAATAATAAATAATCTCCAGAGCTAAGTAACTCCCGTGCTTTTGCCACATTCTGAACACCTAATAAGAACCCTCAAGACGGCGTAAAGTGATTTACAGTTTTATAGCTGGAAGTTCCTCAGAAAACTCCAGAAAGTCCAGAAACACCGAAGAATTCCGGGATCATTACAGAGCAGCCAGATGTTTTTTTTTCAGATGAGCCATCAACTGGTACATTGCAATCTTTGTTTTGACCACGGCAACATGCTCCGATATTACAGCAAAATGGATGTGCTCCCAAAAACTCATGTCTATTCACCACCACAGGATCAAATCAGGAGGCAATGATATTCGGACAGCAGAATTGTGAAGAACCAGTGACAAACAAGCGATTGCATCTTGGAGCGAAATCTTCAAGTACATGCTAAGCGAACGAAAGTTTGCCTGAAAATTGTCAGACGAGTGCCTGACCATCTGAACAAATGGGCAAATTTTCGTCCAATGTACTTATGCACCTGAACTTCACGCCAGATTTGTTATACCGTCTGACGCGATAACTGTTAGTGTTTGTCATTGTCTTCTGCAAGTCTTTTTTTAACTTCCACGTGTCTACAGCGTGGTGTACTCCACTTATAAGTAGAAAGCGATTCAGTACATCCAGAAAAGTGAATCTCAAGTACATATAATGTCGGCGCAATTACACTGCTGTGGTGGATTGAATCATGGTGTGTGGCCGAATGGCTTATATTTTGGACACCTAGGCTTGACAAGGATGAAAGCACTACCGCGCTGCTTCGATTATTTGGTCAGTGTTTATAATGGGGCGAAACACATAGCACGCACACCTCCAAAAGTTCAACCACAATCCTGGTCAAAGCCTTCAAGTTGCTTAGTGCATTGTACATAGGCTGAGTAGTTCCTGTTGATATTACAGGATACACGTTGTGTACTGTGTTACATTTAAAAGCACTTAATTTAAAACCTGCCTGGAGCAACAAAATCGCTGGCCTTCCGTAAAATATTCGCGTCAAGTAAACGACAAGAAATACATTTTGATTTTGGGTTTTGCGGGATAGGTATGTTTGTTCATAATTACGCGAGAACAGGAACACGGCCGTTCAAACGAGAGTGGTGTGGCTATGAAGAAAAATATATTTTAACTTCAGACTTCGCCTCCATCAGTGTATATAAATTCTCGTAGATGCATGCACTCTAACCTAATGTGCTCTCCACTGATGAACGGGTCATCTGCACCTTTTTATGAACAATGAAGAATGCAGAAATTTGAGGAACCCACAAGAATCAACTGAACAATTGTGTCAGACATTCTAACTCAGTCATTTCGAGTTGGTTGACAATTTTTTTCAAGCATTTAGTTAGGAGAAATCGGCGTTTGTAAACATCGAACGAACGTCACAATGCTAGTTTTTCAAACTTGTTAACGGCGTTCAGTTTCACGGCCCGATTTTGCACTCTTAATGGACTTGTATGTTTGCCTTCACACTCCAGTACCGCAAGAGCACGGCCATAATTTCTCAGGCATAAGTGTGCAGACAGGTCAACAGCGGGTATGTTGACTGATTCTCCAGCCTTCGGATTTACCGGATCAGCTAACTACTAACAGTGCGATACACCAATCCATGTACACTTGTTCTGTCGGACTTGTTAAATCACTAGATATTGGTGGCGTAAGTTGGAAAGTTCAAAACTTCACATTAGCTGCCGGATATGATGTATGAAAAAACACTCACTCGTAATGTCAGCTGTACGGGGAGAGATTTTTGACTTTGTGTTATGAGCGCCTAGACCTACCTTCCTGAGAAATTGAATGGTTTGAATGGACGGTTGTTAATCGACCGATTCACACCTATGCGTTCAGTGATGTCTCTTTGAAAGTTTGGTGAAAATGAGAGTGATATGTCAGTTAGAAGTGCATTGAAATCCGTAATCAATCAAGTAATCGGATGAGCAGTGTGTTCAAAAGCCAATAGGTTGTCTTCAGAGGTAGTCTTTTGATACTTACTGTTAAAATCCGTGTCCCGTTTTCCACAAAACCCATCATTCTTGCTAAACAGCAATTCAGTGCAGCCGTCCGACGTTAACAGCTTTGCTTTAGTTATGAATTTGCTTGCGACTAATGGCGTTTTTGTGCAACCATGGGACTCGGCCGATATATTTGGAACTTTGCAAAAATGCTGAAGAAAGAGCGAAACTTACGTTCCGTTTCTTGTCATAGGCAGTGTATCTTTGAAAGGAGATATTTTCACTTTTCATCTATTCTGCTACAACCAGTTACCAAAAGCCTCCAATCTTAGTCACCTGTCCTTCAAGAGAAATATTATATATGTCATTGATTTCAACGAACACTAGTGGTTACTCAAGTAACTGGATTAATTAAGTCAAATGGGTTAACCATTCAAACATTTTGTTCGTAATGGAGCACACATAGTAAGCAGAGTAAAAATGCACTTAATGAATATCCCTTCTACTCTGTGGACTACGGTGTCATTGGGCTGCGAGAATGACTTCCATCTTAAAACAAAATGCGGTTACTATTACGGAAAGTGAACTGAATACTGGCGGAGACAGATCACAATCAAGCTATATGCATTTTCGTTGAAAAGGCACGCAAGCTTATCCTCAGCATTGCTGGTACTCATATGATGCAGTGATATAATCGTAGCCAATGTGGGAGATCGGTGGCTTGTTTCATCATGTCCGTGGAAAAACCTGTGCTTCACTGGTAACTGCTGCACGCCGTTATCAACCAGAGAATACCTTCAATTCAATTGATCGGGTTATTTAATCGGAGAAATAAGGTTGAACCCGACAAGGTGTACACGCATTCTCTAATATAAGGTCGCTCAAACTTAAGTCAAGTGTAAATCATCTTTAACTTTTCTATAAATATTGCCTGTAGTTTATATTATTACAGAACAATTTCTTGTCAAAAGTCGAAATGACATGAATTCGTACGTGAAATTTGTACCAAAACGGTTAAAGATTTGATCGGAACTGATACTTCAAAAAATATCAGCTAACAAAACCGGTCCGCCCTGGTGTTTTTCAGCTCCCAGTGCACGGAGGACTGCAGGATGAAGACGATGTATCCTTCCGCCCTGGAAGCGGAATTCTACCCGGATCGAAAATTACTTACAGAGACACTTTAAAAAAACTTCCTGAATATCTGAGAATAAAGGTTAGTGATGAGGGTTGAAATTTGTTAGTCTGGTAACTATCATCTGGGAGTTCCTTGTACTCATTTAGGTTTGTGGCGTACGTCATTTAAAAAAAACGTCTTACTTTGGTTTGAGATTTTTGGAAGAGTGCTTTGAACTCAACCTATCGCTTTGTATCAGAAGCGGTCAGGAACAGTTTTTTAGTCTTTTTTCAATTGCTAACTTCACTTATCTTCAACAACGCTCAGGTTTTTAGGCTTTCGCAGTAGTCCGACCGTACGTTGCTTGGTTATGCTATCAAGTTAATCATTTATTTTCTTAAATGGAGCTTTAATTTCTTCCAGATTTTTGAATATTTGAATCCGTTCGACGTGGGTCATGCTGCACAAGTTTCTCACAACTGGATGAGCATTGCAGAGAGGTCCTACAGCAATCATCGGCTTGACCTATCATCCCTCCGAACTCGGTGAGTTTATTAAGGGCTAAAGGCAGCTGCGGTTCTGTGGAAAAACTCCGTGTGGAAAAGCAGTGATCTCATGGAAAAAAAATTTTTCTCTCTCTTCTTGATCGTAAACAGTTCATTCTGCTACTTCAGCTCAAATGGTTGTTTATCTTATTACATAGTTTTTCTGAAAGATTCTTGTAAATCGATGCTCCATCGGGAATGCTTTACTTGCAAAATGAAATCTGCGGCTCAGTTTCAAACTAATATTGTTTAGCAAATCAATCGACACAATTATTGTGTATAATGGTGGATTAAGTTGAACACGAGACACGGGCACAAAACCTGAACAGCACTTATGTGTCCTCCAGGACTTGGTTCCTTTCAACTACAAACAAGCTGCAGTCTGCTTCAAAAATAATCACATTGAGGTTCACATAATTGTGTCCGTCGGAGAGTTATGTACGATAAATTGTTGCTTAGAATTCTCAGGTTTTGTTTCGTGTGAAGCGCAGCGGGGTTTTTCACGACATGCGCTCATTTTTGACGATGGATCCGTGGTAGGACACAGCTATTGATTGTGCATTTTGCTGGGAAAGCAATGGGATACTGTTAGTTTTTATTCTCTTGAGTCGCTGAAAAATTGTGCCGTGAAAATCATTAGCTATTTTAAATAAATTTATCATTATAACCTCAATTGGTAGCATTCGAAGTGAGCACCACCAAATGCAGTTTAACAGCATTTTGGTGGGCTATTCAATAAAACCAACCAATTTGGATTTTGGCCGTGAAAATGTAGTGACTGTTCTGCGCGAAGAGTATTCACATTGTTTTGGTATTCAAATTGTCAGCGCTCATGTCAGCACTATGTTTTACACCCAAATTTGGATGTAGTGTGCTATGAAAGCCTCCCCACTCGTAGCTGCTATAATGGGTATAAGTGTCTTCCGCAAATGCTTACTACCCTGTAAGCCGTTTATTCTTTTCGGTTGCAGAATACAGGACAAAATTCTGGCAAAAATCCTGAAAAAGCGCCGCGTCTACTTGCGGTACATTAATCTCAGCAGATGTGACTTGCTAACCCAAGCAGGGTTTCGTTTCTTGGGAACATGCGTTCATCTGCAGGATGTAAATCTCTCTTGTTGCAAACAGCTGACGGTAAGCAAAATGATTTTGTGTGTGTAAATATATACCTTGTGGTTAAATGCGAAAGAGGACATAGAACTTAACGCCATCGTATTAAAATGGATGCTTTTACGTTGACTGCACAGATTATCAGAACGAGAGCCAATAGTCAACTCCAAATGTGGGGATTGAACCCATGTTGTAGGAACGGTATTTTTCAATCTGATTTGGCAGACTGTCAAAGCAAAAAACGAAAGAACATTACTGATTGTAAAAAAGCACAGTGCTGTGTATTCTGTGTTAAAGCACCTGAAGATTAACTTCACTTGTCATGGCCTGAATGGAACGGTTATTTTCGATTTGACAAGTCACTGTTTGCGAGAGGATTTTTTTGTTGCTCTTTTTTGGAGACAGTGGTATATAAAATTGGGTAAGAGACGGATGGCCACATAAAACTATTGAACTAGGTAATTGAGTGCATTTTTTGCTTCGAAGAATGACTAATATTTTCACGTGCGCTTATTTCTCAAACTTTCATGTACATTAGAGGGGCTGTAATTTTTTAAGTGGGTTTTATTGCAGTGCGAGTGCTTTACACAAAGCGTTAGTTCCATTCACACTGAGCAACCAATAATGCGTGCAAATTAACTTTTTTTCAGAACAATGTATTGGATCGCGGCAGCGCAAAAAAATATTCTTTTGCAAAAGCCGTAGCTATCTTCGGTTGTGACCACCAATAACAATAACAATAGTATTACCGAAAATAGTAATAATTCTGCTCGACACCTAGAACACACAGATCTTATGGCTATCGAATTAGTAGGAACAGACCAGCTGTTCTGGGAAGTTATATGGATACATCAAACGTCGGCCTATCCGAGGCGGTAGATCAGTTGATTTTAACGTAAATTTCCTGGCTAGACGTCGTTAAGGTGCTGACCTTAGTAAACAACCTAGAACTATAACATTTTGCTTTCATTTAACCGTATTTTTTGCAGAAACTGTGAACGTCATTTCGTTTTCACTTAATGTACTTTCCATGTAAAAATAATTATCAATTATTCTAGGATGAAGCCGTCATGCATTTGATGTGGGAATGCAGGGACATCGTGAAGCTCGATCTTTCACGTACACCAATCACCGACAGTGCGGTCAGATATATAGCCACGTAAGTATCTGTGCCCCAATTTTTCAGTGAGCTCTCACCAAATCTATTTCAGTGCTCCCAACGTGTTGGAACATCTCATCCTGGCGAATTGTGTCAAATTGTCGAGCGCTTGTCGTGTTTACTTAAAAGAAACAGCTGGATTTCGAACACTCATCTACTTAGATTTGTCCGGTTGTATCCAGGTAGGCTAAATTTAATAAGTGGAACACATACTTTCATGTGTACTATCAAGAATTTTTAAAAGGATGCACACTGTTAAAAAACTAAGGTTTTTTCATTGGCAAAGATTCAAAAATGACTTAGGTGATGGTTTAAATAAAACTTTCGTGCAACCTCCTGTACCTTTGTTTTTTCAGTTAGAATCAGATGCTCTCATGGAAATATTCAGTAGTTTACCGAATGTCCGTCATTGGATACTCAACAACTTACTGCAACTTTCTAATGAAACCTTAAAGGTAAGGAGAAATTTTACAGGCCTTTTTTCTTCACGGAAGACGTCCTAGACTCACCTATTTAATTCAAATTTCGATTAATCTCATACAAAATTACATTTTGTTAAAATTAATTATTTCTGAAACTAAGTTTCTAATTATAAAGACCCGTTTGGAAAATAATCTGATGTTGGCTTTAGACTTAGTTGATTTTAAACTGATAATAAACTTTCACCGGGTCTGCTGCACATAAGCCGCCAGGAAGTTCAAGCGGAAGTATATCTAGGATCGCAAGATATATTTCTGATCAGCTCATAAGAAGGAAATAACTCATAGGCTGTCCACTACCTATTTAGCCCATTCATAAGTTACACCGTGTGCACCTGGCCTCAGAATTTCAGTCAATCGGATCCCGTAAGTTCACACCGAATAGCACGTAGAGATTATAAACATTCACTTGCAGAGTACGGCGTTGTTTAAGGCGGGACTCAACTGCAGTTCATCTGAATCCTTGGTTTAGGTCATTTCTCAAGTTCTGCGGAATATTTCTCTATATTTTAATTCGGGGGAACTTTAAAATATAGGGTTGTTTCAGCATAGCTTTTTACCTGCAGAGTTTGAACAAAAAATCCGTGTAAAGTTCAGCTGCATCCTTCGTGAGCAACAAGTGGGTATTTATGGCAATATACTTACAATGTAACGTTCAAGTGAACAACTGAAATAATTTTATTGGAAAAGTTTCAAGTGGGACGAAGACAGCAGTGATCTGTCTAGGGTTTTTATTCACGTTGTGAGTATCTCAAAACGCTAGTGCTGCTGCCCATTCGTGCATCAACTTTCTTCTCTCCTGAAGGTGTTACTGATTTCCATGTTAGGCTTCAAACTTCCCCTGCTTATCTCAATCATCGCAATCACGAAGATTGTCGCACTCAATAATGATAGCAGAATTAGGCACCTGTATATTTTTGTCACAAGACTATGGTAAGCACTGAAGACTTTAAAGTATTTTGTGGATCTTGATACGCCCTTCAGCCTTATTAACCCGATATTTCATGTCAGGTAGGTCCTGTTTTGTAGGATAGGTCACGTGAAGTAAAAAAACTGGTTCTATTCTGACAAATGTTTCGAATTTACATAAAACTTAAAATTGTAACCGTTGTAAGACACTGAATTAGAAAACTGAAGGACGCCGTACCAAAGTTGAAGCTGGCTTCAGTACAAAGTAGTATCGAGCGCCACAATGCAATGAAACTTAAATAAGCTTGACCAAATATAGTCACTTAAGCAGCTCACTACTATCGTGTACTGTAACATGAAACCAGTAAATCGGCTGACGAGCTGGTCAGGTTGAATTGTTTACAGTCCGTCCCCTGAAAACAAATAACTGGATGTACATCACCATAAACTTCGACCCTTATGAAGGAGAATTGTGGATGTATACCCATACGCGGTGTTATCTCTTGTCGGTGTTAGCTAAGGGGCTACTCTGTGCAGGCGACAAGCGACACTCATCTGGACTGGCAGACAGTACACTAACGGCACAACTGCCGAACACATCTACAGCTATCGCCTCAATATTATGTGAGAGGCCGTGCTACTGTCTGAGAAGGGGTGGTTGGCCTATATACTTTGAAAACCTGACTTTAGAATCAATCTGCTTTTGAACGGTCTGGAAACCGAATGCCTCAATTGGGAGTATGTGGATATTCATGTTTCACCGGCTACGGTTAGCAAGTCGTCAAATATGTGTAGATAACATCACAACGATATTTTTTATTTAGCCTAAAATTGAGTTAACGTTAGACGCCAATGAAAAATTTCATCCATGCAAGAAACAGGAATCTGTGGGGAAAGACGTTAAAACCACCGACAAAATAACAACCATTCTAAACCCTATGTATCGAGATCAGATAAAACAATACCTGTTTATGCCATAGCCTTCTGACTGCGTTCACAGTAAGTTTGTTTTGCCATCTTGTTAACTAACAGACCGAATGAGCAACTGCTATTCTTCCTAATTCTAGATTACGAACTCTGATCTGCTTATATGGGTTTTTCGACTTGCAAAGTCTCGTGGTTTCCCCTCTCTTTTGAACTTTGCCGTTGCACAGATTCTCGGTTCACATTGTCCCATAATTGAAACAATAAGCCTGGAGAATTCGGGCAGTGGAGTAAACCCGGTTCATCAAGAACCATCCGAGAATAACGTCGAAAAACAGGACACCACAGGCGATGAAGTCAGCACCATCGTGATGAAAACGCATGTTAAAAAAAGGACAAGCAAGCAGTTGAATCCTTCAAAGCATCCGGTTGATGACGAAGGTCTCAGTTGGGTCGTTAAAAGAGGAATCCGGAAATTGTTTGTTTCCGGTTTACCAGGATGTAGAGGTCATTGCTTCAAACAGTTGGCAGCCGAGACGCACAATCGGAAACCTTCGTGGAGCAAGCCTATCACCAATGCTATATCAGTAAACCGAAACGATCAACCCATGGAGTTGATCAGACAACTCTACATGACTAACTGTTCGAATGTAAGTCCACCGTTGAGATTTTTCATGGAGTACTCATTTTTTACTTCTCTGATATTATTCTCCGGTGGACCAACTCAGAAAAACAGTGTTTTTCGAAGTGACAGCGTTCCTAGCTGTATTCCAAACTTTGAGGAAAAGTCGAAGAAAAACCAATGTTTTTGTATGAGTAAAAAAGTGCGTCAAAAAATTCGTGTCATTTGTGACGGAAACTTCTTCCAAGAAACAAGGCGGTTTTTTCACACGCCTATGGTTTGCATGAAGTAAAACTATTATGAATAATTCCACCGGGTGATGTTGAAGTACGTCGAATGGTTGTCGGAAGGAACAACTCTCCAACTATAGAGGAACCGATCACACTTTATAGTCTGCAATATCCTGATCACCCACTCCGTATACCAGTCCTAGCTGCCCACTCCTCTGCCTTCCCAAATCATGGGTGAACGTAACTGTCGCATCTGTAACCAGTGTAAAGCAAGTACGCGGTTTTTACAGCCCGAAAATGATAATGATGATGATGATGACGGTAAGAATAATAATAATGGCGATGATGATGATGATGATGATGATAGCGTAGTGTGATGTAAGGTTCCCTCATAAGAGAGAGGCACTGTGGAGTTGTATGTTTTGTGCCTAACAGCTTGTCAGATCAGCAACCACCCTCACTTATTTCATCTGTTGCATTGATGTTATCTTGAAAAATGATCCTGCAAACTTGTAGTTTATTCCGGATAACTTGGGCTCACAGCTGTTGACGAAGCTAAACGGAAGATCTGTAGATCTAAAAGGACGAACTTTAGACACACGTAGCGCGAGCAAAAGAAAACGCCTCGTGATGTACCCGAATCCCTACTATTTGCTTGACGCACAAGTACTCTACAGAATGGGTGACACAGGGGGCTTGTCTTCGGTTAGGCACTAGAAATTTACAGCCATCCGCCACACGCCTACCCAGTTGATCAACAGTCGATATCTTCTAATGCAGCTAGCGAGGCGCTCGTATGACATGGACTCAAGGTTTATATCGCTTAGATACCTTAAGAGGCTTTTCGGATCGTCGCAAGGAACCAGAAAGCCCGAGAGTGAACGCAAGCTACGGTCTTTCGATTGCCAGACGTGCGCTCTACTCATTCTGTTCCCTGCCTGTTGACACCTTCGGCTTGATTTCTGCAACTCATGGTTCACATGTTCAATTTATCAACCTGTCTTCTGATTGGTCCCTTCAGTGAAGTGCCCTCCAGCTAGGGTCGCTTACATTAAGGGAACGCTAGTACTAAATAACGACATGACCTTTGACCTTGATTACTATGCTTGCTAGTACGTTTTGCTGATATAGTAGTTTGGAGTAAACCTGTCTCCCCTTGTTGTGGTTCTACCTACTTGCACCCTACTTGGGAAAAGCCAGATCGCTCCTGACACAGAAATAAACATCTGAATCCTCGGTTGCTTAGAGCTACTTAGTTCGAGTGATTTGGGCGGCTTTTTCCTTTTTTAAGCTTACAGATTCAACTCTCCGGGACCTAGCGATGTTTCCAAGCTTAGTCGTGATCAACCTTTCTCGCTGCATGAAATTGACAGATGTGGGTGTGAAGTGTATCGCCCAGAGTGCCTACGCACCGAAACTACGAGAGCTATACCTGGCTGGCTGTGGGAACCTAACGGATCGATCCATTATCTGTTTGGATAAACGGTAAGTGAGAGCATTTTTAGTGTATGGTCGGTTTAGCCATATGTTATGCACTTGTGGTTTATACGTATATAAGTGATAGTCAACCTGCTGAAATGATCATGGAGCAGGTATAATCCAGCCTATCACAAGGGCCAGGAGATACCTGTTAACATTGTCAGACACTTATTTCGGCAAGAAAAACACATCTACAGCCGACATTTTAATTTCTGCCCAAGCTTAGTATACGGACTTCCCACTCACGTTCAGCACAATATTCGGGGTTGAACACATCTAAATGACTTTTCTACACAATTCTGCGTCTACCTGGGCTTGAGTGAACTTTCACCATACTAGGCTTCGTGTATTTGGTGATCAGCACTTTTATCTCATCTACTTGTTCCAATCTCTTTGGAGGCGGAACGAAGAGGAAACGTTTTGATAAAAAACGCAAAAAAGCTCCAAGTTAGTCATGAATCAAAAGTTTGGGACCGGTTAATTATGCTTTCATATTTTTATCGTTACGAAACTCTCGCAAACATTTGTTAAGGGGTACACAGATTTTTACTGAAGCCATATCCGGATGTTGAACGAATTGTGTGAATAATGTCCATTGTGAAAGTGCGTTCGATTGGGTTGAACGCCGCATAGCGAGGTTCGAGAAAACATAGAATCCACGCAAACTTAAGGTTCCATATAACGCTTCTTGGTAATCACACAAGCTTTAGTAAGATGAAATAATGAAGTTAGCAGACATGTAAATGCTGTTCCACTTGCATGTTTCGGGGAGGATGGGCAGTAACTGGTCCATATCCGTTTCTCTCAGACTTCCACAACTGGCCTACTTCAGTGTTGCTTTCTGTGCGAGGATTTCTAAGCCTGCGTTGATGAGGCTCGACCGCTGGAAAGGGCTCTGGCAACTGAATATTTCCGGTACGGACTTAGATAACCGAGTAAGTAGATCCATTTTGCAGTCAAAATTACCAACTTTGAGGTATGTGTGTTAATTTTTGTCGTCCGTGTTTTGTGTATATGAATGAGCTATTTCCCAGACTACTTTTAGTCTCCCAATTCCAGAAAAAAAAACCTTTAGTGCTTGCAATCTGGAAATATAGCTGGGATAGTGTCGAAATATTGGTGGCTCGGGTGCGTTTATTGATTCCTGATCAGGAGGCTACTGGCCTGTTCACCCACTTATCCGCACACTCACAAAGTCTGTTGATTTGATGACGAAAAGTTTACTCTCTAGTTGCTGAGCTCGACAAAGAGATCCACAGCCATTTAGTCAACAACCAACTAGCTGAAGTGATTACAACCACTGGATCGCAGCTGCTAGTCAAAACGCAGGCAAGTGCGGCATTTTCCGTACATGGAGTGTGACCTGACATCTCCTTGTGCAGTTTTTAACACTAAAGAGTTTAAAGTAACAAAACACTAAAATTATAAAAACCAAATACGAAAACACTTTTCAGTGATCCGCTCACTGCTTTTTACCAGACACGGTTTGCGTTAGTCTTTTGCTGTCTACATGCTGGGATTAATTCAGAATTCAGGCTCATATTACTTTCATTTGAACAGTTGTCCTCCCGCCTGGGCGCAAGGATTGTGGTTAGTCCACACCAAGGGTGTAAACATTGGACTCGAGTTTTGCTCTTTTTCGAGCTTATGAGTTGACGATGGTGGGAGTTGGCGAAGCGATCTTCGAAGGTTCTTGACCCATGGTTTTTTCACACAAAAGTCATTCTGAACGATGACTGAGCGCCCTGAAGAACAGTTCGTCCGGCACCTATCAGCTTACCCATTGAAAGATCAAAAGAACCCGAGTGGAAATACAACCGAAGTCAAGCTTGCTGCAGAGCAAAAAAGCATCTGTACCAGAGGGTGTGCAGCCTGCATTGCATCCTGACAAACTGACTCTATAGTATCTGAAATGAGGAAATAGTAATACCAACAGTGCTCCAGAAGGTGACTCCTATATTCAAAAAATGCGAGAATATCATGCAAAAAACACCGATCATCGTTGCAGTGGCCACAGCTTTCTGGTATTTTCACCCGTTGGCACTCATATGGAGAGTAGGATCCGCCAGAATCAAGCTGGGTTTTATCCGACACCGAGTTATACTGATTATATCTCCACTTTGCATCGAGTTCCGGAACGACTAACAATAGTAGTTTTCCTTGATCTCAAATCTGCTTTTGACTCTGTGACCCGTCGGAAACTGTAGCACTTTCTGGTGATGAATGGTATATCTGCTTAATTCTTGTCTCCTATAAAGCTTTTATAGGCCTCTTCCCGTGCACATGTACTTGTCAAAGACAATTTTTTCCTGAGTTAACCTCATCCAGTGGTGTTAGGCGTGGATGTGATACATTTCTTCCTATCGTCCTCATTTTATACATTAAATGCCGGATCGATTGCAATAACTGATACAGCATTCAGACCCGCATATGCACCATACAAAATAGAGTCCCACAACGCAAGCTTGTCATGTATTCTGTCAGTTTTGCTACGGAAACTTCAAGGTGCAAACTGATTGGTACCTTTTCAAGGGCCTCAAGTGTTACATTACGGTGTTCAATTTTCATTCGAAAAATCGATATTCTGAGAACCATGGACACCTTGGGCGCACACCGCTTCTAACTTTCACTAGAAGTTAACCGTCACTTCAAAATAGAGAGACCATTGCAGTGAAAAACCATTATTGCTGTTGTTTAAGGGTGTTGCTTTTTTCATAGTTGACGGCTGTCCAGTTTATTTCATTCATCTCGGTTATTTATACATTTTCTCTATATCAGCGTCAGAGGAGTTAATTTTCGGCTACAATTCTAATGGTTGGGATAGATAAATGACCTGAGGTTGGAATGTATAAAACCGCTCAGCACAGCTTACCTCTTGCTCGTCAAAAACTAATCTTTATAATCCCTGCCTTCGTAACGGGCTTGAAATGGATTTCGCCCTCTGACTTTGCCTCAAACATTCTGTCACCTCAGCTAAATTGACTCAGCAATGTTTTAACGTGCAGCTGTATTAAACTGGATACAGAGTAGTAAAAGTGTTTAAGGTTCAGCCACGTAAATGCGTCAATTAACATATTTTGTAGTTCTGTATGGAGAAATACCGGGTATTACGTTGGTAAATTATCATCATTCAGAACTTATGTATTGCAAATGTCATAAACCTTGCCATATGCGACAAGGTATAACTTATTTGTTGTGGGTGCAACATAACAAATATGTTTCGTGGGTGGGTAGCTTCGAAAATACGTAAGTAATTTCCAGGAAGAAATTTATCTCTTGTCTCCGTTTTCCACCACGCAACTTGCCAAATCACCAGCTGACATACCTTCTCTCCAAATTCAAGGGTCTGGCTGCCATTGGGAACTTGCCGAGATTGCGCGAATTGAAAATAGCAAAATGTTATTCAATAGTCGACGCCGGGCTGGAAAAATTTGCACAGCGGGCGGAACACTTAGAATTTGTTGATTTATCCTTTTGTAATGTAAGTTCAGATACTTTACTTGGTTCATAAACGTTTCTTCAGAACTTAACTGACGAGGGTATAAAAGCTCTTTCCTTCTGCTGTCGATACTTGCAAGTGGTCAAACTGGTTTCCTGTAGAAAAGTAAGTTAACATTCAACCAACAAATTTTCAACTCCTGAACCCATTAGACTCACTTGGCTGTTGAGTTTCTCGCTGAGCTTGGCAGCTTTACCATTGATTGTTCTTTTGAATGATGATGCTTCGAGGTAGTTAAAGTGGGATTTAGTGTGCAAACGACTCAGAGGTATCCTGTCTCACTTAAGTAAATACCTGCTTTATGCTGAGTTCAGTCGTCCACCGATTAACCAGGTCAAAAAGACGTATCTTTCGAGCAATACACACATTTGCAAATCTATTCGTTTTTCACAGGAAACTCAACTGAATCTCTAGTTCATGGCATTCTACAACTGAATGTACTGCACACAAGCCGCATCACGTTTCAGTTGGCACGATATTCGAGATATCGCAATACAATTTCATAAAACTGCTCACAAGTTTGCTGGAAACTCTTCGACAGACCATGACCGGTTTCACTCTCCTTGGAGCTCATCAGGTAGGCAAAGTCCCCGAGTTTCGTCAACCTTATGTTCTACCTGATGAGCCTCAAGAAGGGCGAAACCAGTCGTGGGCTGTCGAAGAGTTTTTAGCAACCTAGTGAGTAGGTTCCTTCACGTCGTGTCTTTGTTTCAATGTTTGTAACCTAGTTTGCTAGATAAGGCCTCAGAAAGGCTTATGTCAATCCCTTCTGCTTCAAAACGGACACGACACAGTTTTTGCTGAAGCCACTTGAAGCCGACTAAGAGAAATCTAGTGCATATGAACCGAAATGGTGGATGGTGTATGGTTCAGCACGAGCTCATGAGCAGCAAGATAAACAACGGGCTTGTTCTATCAAATAGACTAACATGACAATATTGATGATGAAATGTAAAGTTTTGCTTAAGAAACGCAGAATGTTCTGAAATGTCCTCAGACGGCGCACAACACTGTTCCCCTGTGTGTGCACCAGTGCTGGTGGCCATTAACAACAAAGCCCCGTGAATGCAACGGTATACCTTCATGACATCGATTGCACTTACTCAGTACTACACGTTGCTGATCCTCAAGTCACCCAATTCACGCAGCTGTAAAGACAGCGTATAGTGGATTCCGTTCCAGTGACGGGAACTGTAGAGGCCATTTTTGGTAGCGTGAATGCATATCCGGCCTGCAAACTTGAGTGCTTTGTAGGTTCCTGCAGGCTTCTTTGTGAAATGGGTCTTGACCATGCTTTGCTAGAACTATACATTAAGAAGTCCTTCTAACGAAATGCATTATTGAGGGGAGCTGGGATATCACTCACTGTTTCTTTATTATCGTGCCCGTCAATGTTGTGGCTTCTATGGACCCCATATCAAACAGTATTGCTTCAAAATGGTTGCAAAAGTAGCATGTTTTATTTGGGTCCGCTCAAAGCTATGAAGAAAAGGAGGAATCAAGCTTCAGGGTGCGGAAGACACCGTCAAAAGCATTTGAGACTTGGATCTTGTACGGGGAATTAACTCAGGTTACAAGTTGGTTAGAAGGCCCTAGAATAGTGATCAAGACTGACTGTGTATAACAAGCATCATCGTCATGTGGCAACCAACTTTCAATCCGCTATTTGATGGTATGAATTTTCCATCCTTTTGTTTGAATACTAAACATGCTCACTTTCTATTCACCAGTTGACTGATTTGAGCACGGAGTACATATCAGTCGCCTGTTCTTATCTTCGGACTTTGGACATTTCTGGATGTTCACTAATGACGTGAGTGGTCCATATCACTTTACATATCACTTTAAAACTTCTCTTAAGCTTCTCAGCAAACACATATATAATGATTTTCATGTCAATGAACTGATTCACTTGATTTCTATAAAGAAATGCTTGCGAAGTTAACTGATTCTGGTTGCGCTTGCTTTATTCTGTCGTTGGATCGCCCCTACGGAGGATGTCCTAAGCATACTATGGATAAACTGACGCGCGAGCAAATTTATCATTTGCAGTAGATTCTAGTCGATAATGATGCTAACCGAGGAGAACACCTTCAAACTTACAAGGGAGTACTTTTAAGCAAACAATTTTTCAGACGAAAAGCCGCATATCTAATGAACCACGCCAGATACAAAGTTCATCATCATACGTTGAATCCTGGAAATTATGCATCCTACAAATATTTTCACTTTAGTCACCCAGATTCGGAAGCAAACATTGTGTCAACGCCGGTGTTGCTGTCTCTGTCTCTCCGATTATGACGATCAGGTCATGCTATCTGAGCTTATGCTTTGTTTAAGTCTCTATGAAAGTGTAATGTGAGTTACCCTACCTACAAGTTTAGAGTAGTGCAGATCCAGCAGCTTGAGTAACAACCAACGACAATGCATCAAAGAAGTAACTACGACTCCACAGGAGATACCATTCAGCATTGAGTGCACTACCTAAACAGTGACAAATCACATGAAAATTTCTGCACCAGGCCCTCCTTGACAAATCCGGCAATGATCGTCAAGGGCAAGTTCACAAAATATATTACAAACCTCATAATTTGGATCTGGTCGAGCCAGTGACTCGAAGTTTTTCTGTGCTCCCTCCAACAAATTGCTTTCATTTCACAGACTTAACTGGGCACTAAGAAGCAAACTGACGATCAAAACCCTCGGAAGTTCCTGACCTTTTTTCTTCTGTATAACGTTCGCGTGATCAGATTCACACATTTGTATTCATTTCTAAATAGCGTGACCTCATTGAAACATCTCAAAAAAGGCTGCAGGAAACTGGAATGCCTACTTATTAATGGCTGTCATCTAATTGAGAAGTGAGTATAAAATGACCCTTCCTTTATCCATTGTTTTTTACCTGTTTAGTAGCCTGCCTCACCTTAACTCTGAGGTCCCAAGTTGTAAAATTTTGGCACCAAAACGTCTTAAGTCTAGATAGCAAGAAAACTACTGCCTAGCGTCGAAGGCGTAGTGGTCAGTATTTGACACAGTCATTTCGCTCACGCGTAGATATTTTACCCCTTCCGACGTGGTGATTTCGGTGCATCCAAGATGCGTTTTTGGGTTGCTGGCAACAAACTCCTCTTCCTTGGCCCCATTAATGAGTTTCGTGCTTGGCATATCAAATGGTATACACACTTGACGGGTTCTAATATGCGTCAGTCATGAATTGAGTGCTACTCCATATCTTTATATGAGATTTGACTATTGAAAGGCTTTCAGCATTTGCCCATGGACCTCTACGGAGTATTCCTAAAGTTGGTTGGAATAGTACGTAGATAATGCTTAAGTGCGTCAACTCTTTCTTGAGACAACAACTCGTCCACGATACGCGAGCTGGTAACACTCATTGATTTACCCTGGTTTAGTGATGCACTTTGTAAACTCTTAACGGACTTCTTCGTGCAGCCCTTTCTGAACTCCTTGCGGAGGGTAGAAACGGGCCACAGAAGGTCAAGCAACGGCTTGGTCCTGGAGGTGAAAACAAACTGAGCTACACTGAGCACTTCTGAATTCCTGGATGAGGACATCTAGACATGACCTACCAAGAGTTACAGACATTGGTAAACAAGGCCAGACATGCACCCGTCGCTCACTCGTTGGAGCTCATGCATCTATGTTGTTGTCTTCGGTGGATGGTTTATCCCAGATATCCCCAAGGAAGTGTACGTTGACGCTCCCGAATTCGCGCGTCAGCGGTATCACCTATTGCCTCTAATACATAGTTGTCCAAAACTCTTCTTCAAGACCAAGGATGAGCGCAGCCACTCTTAAGCATTCACAAGGTCTACATCGATTATCATGACTATCAGAATTATTCCATCTCACCGATATTGGTCTGCAACAAGTAGTTCCATTACAACATTTCCTTGTGTAAATTTCAGAGACCTCAGCTATATAAATTTGCACCCTGTCCAGTGGGAAATTTAATGAGGTTTGACTGCAGGTATTCTCAATGTGATTTATTCAAACAGACCACAACATTGTAGAAATTTTGCAACTGAAAGTCACTGAAAAGGTCGAAAGGAATGAAAAATTTAAAGCTCAGTTGCACTCCGGTAGTTTTTGTCCACACACAGACTCAGTGGATTCAGTTTGATTACTGATGACGTCACCTCGATTGGTGATAAAACGTTTGCAATCAAATCGCTCAGCGAACAAACAAACGACTATGACACTGAATATTTGTCCTTGCTACGGCACTTTATTTGTCATCCAAATGCTCCACATGAGTTTTGCCAACTGTGAAAGCCATCTTTCTCCATCCTTAAGCAGGACAGTGAAGGTAGTTAGTATTTGATGCTTCGATTATCCTCAAGGTTTTCGTATAGTTTTGGATTTAATCTTCTAGAGATATCTGGTAGTCCGTGCACAGTGTGAAGCTGGTGGTGCGTCAGTCGCTTTTTGATAGCTAAGGCCAGCCAAATGGTTCTTCAATGTTTACGACCGACCGGAGCAGGCAATGAGATACAGGATGGACTTTGAAACCAACTTTCTCTATAAAAATGGGCGGCTAGTTTGGCTCGGTGGCGGGGCCAAGTTGAAATCCCCGACGCCTCTTCCCTTTCTAGGGTTCTCCTTCTCCCACTCAGATTCGACACTGCAGATACGGTGATCCCTAGATCTTCTTGTTGAACGTTATTGTTGTTTTTGTGGGATTGCCTTTCTAAACTCGATCAGATGCACTGACCTCAGTTAAGTCCAACTTGAATTAAGCCACCACGCTGATTTTTTATTCATACAGCTGAACACCAAATCCATAGCCTTTTGGATTTCAAACTACCCTTTATCTGGCTAACTGGTTATTCGGCTTTCTTAAGTTGTCTAGAATGCTGCCGCTGATAGAGCTCATTGACGGCCGAATATGTGTGCATGGTATCTCTTAGTGCTCAATAGTCGTCTTGTCAGCTGAAAAACAGGCTGAAACACAAGTACGAACCGGAGCATGATCCTACATGTATATGTTTCTTGAACATAACAGCTTTGTGGTCACATTGAGTGCTTCACTGGTTGTGGTCTGAAGAGCACCAGGTAATTTCGATGCTCATGTTTGTGTTGAAATTTTCTTTGAGGTAAGTAAATGCAGATTACGTTTAGCGAGCACCAACCGTTGTTGGTTCTTTAGGATCTGTACAAGCGCTTCTGCCGAGACAGCCCTCATGCTTCCAAAATAGGCCTGTAAATCAAAAGAAAGAATAGTGATATTCGTGCACTTTCTCATCCGTACGGAAGTCTTGCACAAAGGGAGTCTTCGGTGGTTAGAGATAGAGCTAGGGAATGAAGGAAACTAGCTACTTCTCTGAGGCATCGTGGATAGATGTTAGTTTCCAGCTGCCTGTGCCGAAAGTGTGTGAGATACTTGACCTTGAAAGTCCAACCTAAATTTTCATCTACAAGGCCATGGGAGAAGGTAAAATTTCGTTCCGAGGCCTTGCCTGTAGTCTCTGACCCAACAATCTGGTCCACAAGACAGAAGACATGAGAGTTCATTTGAGGCCATGTCCATGACAGATGGCTCAGTTATCTTACTCCCAAGTCGACAATGTAGAACATATGTCTTATGAGCTTCGCCAGACTTTTTTAATAATGTACCCGAGATCCCAACTAGCCGTTGAGTACAGAGTGATTTCTTCTATCCTTCCTTGAAAGTTGGCAGCTTTGCTGCTTCAAGAAGTGTGGACATGACTGTCACCTGGGGAATGACCGTACTATATTCACACTCTTACCTCATAGAACAGCAAGAATTTTCATCAAGACCGGCTCGTATTATAGGTACATGCACTAATAAACCTCACACTACTGTAGGACGTATTATCAAATTTTCTGAATACTGTTTATGCAAGAGATAATGTAATGATGGATGATATGATTATTAAATGGCCGTATGCCCAAGTCCTTATATCTCCTTTCGCATAAAGGCATACAATGTATCCACTTAGATCATTTCCCTAACTGCTGGGATCTTCAGTCGGTTCAGCGGCACTTTTCACATAAGGTTGTTCAATTTTTTTTATGAGAATTTCACGAGACCTTGAAACGTCGTAGGCAAAACGAACCAATATACAATCCTGTATCATATTTTTAGTGTTGTTCTGCTGATATTGTCACTGTACTTTTCTCCTCCACAGGCAAGACGTACTACGCTGGGCAGATCGAATTCCATATGTGGCTCATTCTCCGAATAAACCGGGGCCGTAACCGAGTTGTCCACTAATAACGAGCGTGTCAATAAGTCTGCTCAAACGTTTATTAGAGGGAAGAACTTACTACGTAGAAAAAACTACATTTTTAGCATTTCTTACACATAACCGTTGCAAAAGCTGTTCTGATACCGTTTTCACCGGCAACCATCTCTTGTTTATTTTCGCTATTTTCGAGACGACTTTTCTGTAAACCTCCTCAACCATTTGGGTCTTTCTTCTGCAGTATTGCGTAAACTGATTCACTTTGGAACGATTGCTCGTCTTTGCACAACGCGTCTTCCGTATAAAAGGCATTCCAAAATCCTTTTCTGACATATTGTTATAGGAAAGCAGAAAAAGTTTATTTTATGGGTCAAATTTGTTTCTTTGATGCATTTTTGAACTTTTCAACCAGCTAAATGGCAACTGCCGCAAACCATTTTAAATTGTGTCGATTAGTCCAGTTCTAGTGCAGGAAAGTGTCTAAGCATATTCTTGCCGTTCAAGATAGTGAGAGATGTGAAATGCCTCGTGTGTCTGGGACGCTGCACTGGCTCTCGTGATAATAGATTCAGTGTACATGGGCCTCAGAGTTCAAAAGTCCTTTTACAAAGTTGTGCCGCCAATTGTGGCACAAGAAGGCAAGTAAATATTTTGGTCCCACTTATCATGTGCAGTAAAACCACAGTGCGAAGTTTATTGCTGTGTGGTGGCAAGATTCGGCACTCACTGGCGTCTTCATTTCGTCGACCACAGATATCTCCTAATCATGGTGAGAAAAAGTGGATATTAATAAGCCCGTAACGAAATAAATGTATCCGGTAAAGCTTGAAGGAAACCCCTGTGCTACAGATTGTGTTACCTGAATCGAGCATTACACAAGCCAAGTTCCAAGTGGCGCAAACTAGCAGGCAAGAAGCCAGGGTGTGACAGAAGGGACCATGAAACCTTGAAAAGTCTGGGAAGCGTAAGGTCTACAAAATCCATTCCCACATGTCAAAATGTTGAGAAGTAGCCACTAACCGATGCCTGATGTTCGTACCCCCACGTTCTGACCAGAATGAACTTCCTATCAAGACTTTTGGTTAGTTTGCGCGACTGACGATACACACCTGAGGGATATTTATAATTCTTGCCTGGTGCGCAAAGCTTTTTTGAAACAACCTGATATACGACGCAGTTGGAAGTCTATCTGGTATTTTGGGACTTCCGCGAGTAAGAGTGATTTGCGGAAAAGTTGACTAACGCGAAAAAATACGTTTGCGTTGTCTTTTAGTACCTAAACGTATCCTATTTGACTGTCATTCTTTCAACGCAAAATATTCTGTAATGGTAGCTTTCATAAGTTTACCATTAGTCGTAAAAAACCCGCCATTTCATAGAGTTGAGAAACACATGCTCCTTTCTTGAACGATAGAGTTAATAATCAGACTGGAATAATGACTTCCATTTCATTGTCCTCACGTTTCAGCAGATGTTTATCCAATATTAATCCAAAAAGGCGTATTGCTTGGTGGCGTCCAATACCCGGCTTTCAGCACCTAGTCTTATTTCCTTGATTAAATGAGATGCGAAATGACAACGAATTCTGAGTAGGCTTTTGTTCTATGTTACATCCTGATCAATAGCTCAGTACATCATAATGTCACTCATTGAGATTTCGAGCCTGATAGTCTTTTTGTATGCTTTTGAGGATCCGTTTTGAGTTTCCAAACTTAGAAAGGGTAGAGTAGCTCTCAAAAAACTGCACTTAATTGACGAGTTTTTCGTGAGAGTTGAGTTTTTTAAAGACATCAGTTCAGAAGCTCTCTAAATATATAAGCGACGTGATCCTGCTATGCACTGAAAACATGAGTCTACTTCAACTGTAAGCCTATGAACATATTGATAGTGTGGCAATAAATGTTTGATTGGACCAAACACAAGCAGACATTTTGCTAGGTATCCTTGAGGGGTAAGTAACAGTCCAAGATTTGCGTTTAGCCTTCAACATTCGACGTGTCCATGACATTCTTTTTGCCTACGCCCAAGGTACCTTTAACACCGTTACATTAAACTAACATTTACCGCTGTTTCCTCCTCTCATTTACACCAACAATGAACTTCTACTATAGTGAAATGCGCCTTGGTAGAACAGACGAAGAATGTAAATAAACACCGAACAGACCGATTTGCCTAGCGTCACCACCACACAAAATCTGCGTGGGATCGATCGAAATCTAGACTACAAGGCACCTATCTTTATACAGTATTTTGATATAATGGTGACACCATTCCCCAGAGTGAGAGGAGCTTTCTTGGTTCTAGGTGCTATGTAACCGGGTAATTGGATTTTCACTTAAGAAAGGGGTGGATATCTGTCGACATCCTACAAAGAACTCAAGCCGGAAGAATTCCTGAACCCTAATTTTTCAAACTCCAGAGGAAAAATAACTCGAAATAAGAATCTACGAGAATTCCAAACGAAAGCGATATAACCAACACCACTGGAATGCATATCCAATTAGAACATAAACCAACAAACCACAGGACTATATGTAGCTGCAAATGTAAATGAGACAAAATGGAAAGATGGGGCAACCAAAGGCCGAAACAAAACATAATGGGTTAATCAGTGCATAGATAGCAAACTGCTGGGATTTGATGGCCAGCGGACCAACAAATAGAACGAAGTAGGACAAGAGTGTTATGTTTTATTGACACCCAACCCATGATAATAATGTGACGCGGTGCCGAACGCCTTCAAGCACTTAATGGAGAGGCGAAACGACTGTGGTTTTTCCACAGACTTAGGGTTTAGTCTGATTCTTGCTACTTTTAAGTTGAGTGAAAATAAGACAGCGTTATCTTGGGCATATTATGTCAACATTTTGACTATTTTTGGTCGAAAATCCCGGATCATGTCCATTTTGAACTGAACGCCACTAAATTATTCTAATGTCAGGTATTATTCGCTTTCATACGCACTTATCTCGATGACCCTAGCAGAACTGATAGACCGCCTTATTGGCTGGTTTTTTTGCGAACTCTTGGCACTTTAAACAGACAGGTAGACGTCTTGGGAAATTTAGGCTAAATGGGATCAGAAGCAGCCGCAAAATCTCAGCCTTTTGCCAAGTTACGTCATATGCATATTTCAGATGTGATTCGTTCGGGGACAGAGGTGTCTGGATGGGATAGAAACACATTATCTCTATTAGTTTAGCCACCCTATTAACAATAATTAATGGCTCACTAACGTCTGTTTGAGTGCAAAGGAGGAAGTCAAAGTTGTATTTTGTTGCCACAAGACGCAGTAGTCGCAGAATATTTTTTGCCGATAGCTGCCATCGTTGTGTTGCTCTTACCGAATTTGTGTTTCCGACTCCAGCGAAGTAAGGTTGGTTTGGGGCAGCCGACAAGATCTGTCGGAAAGTTGAGTCATGGCCCTTACCAGGAACTGCAAATAAACCAAGCCTTCGCTGGTTACAACAAAACAGTCGCCAATGAGCAGCTATGTATTTCAAGGGATGATTGACAGTCAAAACAGAGTGATCGAATTCGAGGACTGATGAGAATGGAAACTATGTACAAATGCCCTACAGGAAAACGAAAAGTGACGCAGCTCACAAAACAGACAATTTATATCAGAGACCTTGTGTTGAGAATGCCACGGTATAGTCAGTTGAGGCCAGTGAAACTGAATTGACCAGAAACTCGAAGCAGGTCAACCTGATGGCGGATTCACATATCCTAAATGTACTAATCTGTAACTGAGCGCCCAGTGAGAAGTAAAAGCGGGTGTTACAATCGGTGGAGATGTGTTGGAGCGCCCTGCTACATATACAGGATCGGTTTACTGAAATCAGTCTGTGGAATTTGGGTCAGCATCAACTGCCGATCCCACATGACCGAATTGCCCCAACAGTTCACAGCATAAAATGCATTCCTGAAATTCATTAATGTGGCAAAGAAGGACTCATATCTCGTCCTTTTCCCCCCTACACTGCTCCAACGCTTGACTTTCAAGTGTTTTTTGTCCCATGACAGTGTCTGCAATCAAAACCTCGCTCTTACTGATAATGGAGCCATTGTTCGGGGTTGGTGTTAAAACTAAGGTCAAAAAGAGCATTATATTTGAATCCGTCGTAGCTTTTTTGGAAGATACGTGAGCGGGAAGTAGAAGAAAACAATCATGCACACGCCGCTTAGATGTGCTTCACTGTCTAGTATATATTAGCATACAATTATAGACAAAATTTACCATTTTGCATATTGCTGATAAAGTTACAATTACTTCCAGAAACACGAAAATGTCCAAATTTCTACGAATATATAAGACAGCACTCAGCTGCTTTGAGCAGGTATCCGAGTGGTTTGTCACAGATGACCGTCTGTATGGATTGACGTACATCTATAGGTCTCAGTCAGTTATAACGAAATCATCCAGCAGAGGCATGTAGGTGCCTGAGTGTGATAATTTGTCATCATTCAGCACTGTTTCCTAAAATAGAATGGGATCTCCAAGGCGTTCAGATAGAAACATCGATGTGTAGTCCTAATTTAAAAGGGAATAACGACGAGGATGTCTACATCCTGCGCAAATGGGAAAGGTTGGTGTGAAAAGCCTGTGTCCATCAAACTGACTCTTCCTCTTCATTAGATTCTTCTTGGCCCTCCTCTCCAATCTCTTCTTGCTCTTCAGGACCGGCACGAGCCTTTCGTAGAGCAGCCTCTTCCTCTGGCGTAGGATCCGTCAATTCAGCGACTTCAGAGTGGTTTTGGAACTCGTCCATAACGTTCTGTGGTAGATAAGGCTGGAACCCGGGAGCAGTCGCTTTCACTCCCCAGCCAATGTAAATATTTTCAAAAGCTCTAAAAAGGCAAATTGGAGTTTTTAGAAAGACGGATTTTGAAACACTTTCAAGGCTCTTTGCTGAAATCATGCTCGTAGCTGAAGCATTTAAGGATGAAAGAGTGCCACCTTAGTGTTCCATTTAGGTTACCACTTGGTGCCATTTATGAATTTCTCTGTGTTTCTTCAGCAGTCTGACATTTCGTCTAATACGTACATCATTCAGTCGCGTTTCTAAGATAGTGTCTTTGATAGGCAGGGCAATCATGAGCTCAGTTAGAGTTGGGACTGCTCAGGCACTTGTTGTGGCTCAACTACATGGGTACCAACTTAGTCAAGTTGACGTACGCAGTGTATGGAAATATTCAACTGCCAACTAAATACCTTGCCTACTCTATAGCACCCCAAAGATCAGGTAGTATTGGGCTTATAAGTGGGAAAAAGCCTCATTCTTTTCTTTTTCTGACCTACGTTGCTGTCTCCTCCCGTGCTTTCTCGCCTGCCGCAGTTTCAGAATCTAGAGCTGTTTCGTTTGCGTAGGTATCCAAGGTCATTAGATCATCTGGAAGAGCAAACCAATAGTCTCACTCTGAATTGTTGGGGCGCAAACCCTACTGTTGTTATTTACATGCAAAATATTCTGGAAAACTGAAGCTGCGTTCCTATTCCTTCCTAGGTGGTCAATTTTTAGTGACCGGAACACATTAGGCTAACTAGAATGATTGTTTCTAAACAAAACCCCGCATCCTATGGTTCACGCAGCACTTATGCAGCTTAACTGACAACCCACTGGGCATGTGTGCTTAGTTTTTACCACTTTGGTAAATGTCCTCTATACTTTTGACACCTGTTACGTCTATTCCACTTGGTACTATGGCAAGAAACGTTATGGAGCACGATAGTGTCCGTCCGGAAAATAACACTCAGCTGTTACTTTTGAAGGTCAGTGCCCACGTCAGCAAGATTCAAAATCCTCCTCTAATTTCACTGAGGTTGTTGTTTTGACGACAGCATCTTGAACGCTTTTGGTGAGAAAACTGCTTCAAATATAGTGAGACTGATCTGTTCCTATAGGAAAACTTTTACGATCCACCGAAGCGTATCAGCTGTATAAGCTTAGTTTCAAAAGACTTTGCTAATGCAGTAAGATGTAATGGGACAGCTGTGTACTTAGAAAGCTGGCTGACAACGAGGTATTTTAGACACCATCAGTCATGAGCAAGCTGCTTCATCCAAAAACTGTGCGATACTCAACCACACAATGGTATTATTTCAGAGACTCAAAGGTAGTGACCTTGTTTCTGTGTGCGTCGGGTTTCAAATGAGTAGGGATGCATCTAAAAGTTACCTATAAGAGATGGCCGGGAAACTGCGGTTATTTTATGCTACAGGAAGCTTAGTAAATACACGCGGGTTGAACAAGATGTATTCAGCTATACAGCACGAAGGCTTACTTATCCCACGCAATTGCATGTGCTCCTGGCCAAATATTCGATGAAACCACAGCAACCGCATGTTCCGGAATTATCGCGGAGCTTAGGCGCGCCGACCAAGCGGGATAGTCTGAGAGTGATGCATCTGCTGCAATGGATGTCAATATTGGTGGTCCCCTTTCTGGTTTTGATGGGCTTAAAATAGTGAGACCTTCCTCTTCCTCTTCTTGCTCGTCTTCAGACATTTCGTCCAACAGGCTTTGGTTAGGGTTCCACCTAAAGCAACACAAAGTTACCATCAAACAGAACAAAAACCAATGTTCTGCTGACTAAAGATGAGCGAACAAAGGGACAGACTAGAAGTTATTTTTGATCTGTATGAGTAGATGATCATATGTGCGGATGGGAAATGTAATCCCGTAGCACTGTTGAACCACCAAGAAATAGGTGATAGCATTCACATTGAACATTATATCGAACGCTTGAAGCGTCAACCTTAAGCAAGCCGGACCTACAGTCAGCAAAGTAATAAAGCAATTCTCCAGTTTTGTAGCGTGTTGTATTCGGGATAAGAACTGATGAGATCAGCACCGTGTAATTTATGTGCCCTATGAACACCTTGGCTGTCAGCCACAATTTTTCGTAATTCATTGTCGACTAAACATGTTTGAACAGCGTTTATTCCTAAGACGGTGTTGTCAGGAATCCGCTCCGCTATCAGAGAACTCGTATAAGGAGCCATTCATACAGCGCAATGTTTCCCTGGACTCAAGTTCTCTACATCTGAATCTTGTTTAGAATAGACAACTCACAAGAGAAATCACTCAACCCAAAATAAATGCGTCTACAGTGCGCTGAGGTCCCACGGATCAAAACACTACCAAACTGCATCAGCCGTAGTGATGGCGTCAGCATCCCGTCTATCTGACTTGGACCTATTGCACACCTTGGTAGGCCCAGTAGCCAGATCTTAAACAAGGATCTCAGCATCACAGCCAGTACAACATTGAATGGAGGCATATCAGAATCAAAATGCACATAAAATCACACATACATACACAAAACAAGCACATAACAATACATGCTATCGCATCTGACTGCCAACTGATCACAGGAATACGTCATACATAAATAGTGCTGCATTTGATTCGCATTCAGTTGAATTGAAAATATCTGGAGAAGGTTGCCCGCGAAAGCTGAAACGTCGAATTGAAGCGTCTTATTCCACTGAGCTGTTTTAACTTTAAAAACTCTATATTACACACCACACGGCGCTCAATCCGTTCAACACTATCCAAGCCGAAATTAGGCCGGGAACTCCTATGCCTACATGGTTGAAATGAATTCTCATGGTCTCTCAGGTTAGTCCGCTAGTCGGCTACGAATGTCTTCTTCCCTCAGTGTTCGTCTCTGAGTGGAACGCCTTATAGTCCATTAAGCTTCTGTGTACCAGCTTAGTGGACGGTGAGTTTGCTGTGACTTATTCTAACGAAACTGATGTTTTGGAAGTCCGAATGACCGAATCAGTCCATATTTAACGTTTCCTCTTGAGGTATGTTCTTCCTCAAAGGACAATATAGATAAAAAGTTGAACCGAAGAAATTCGTCTCCCGTGTGATCCTCTCCAAAGAAAATCGCTCTTAAACAAAATGGAAGAATTTTTGTGTTGATTTCTGGGATACTCTTTTGTATCTTAAGCATATGACACAGAATCGCGGCTTTACATGCCGGTGTTCATGGACAGGAAACGCGCAAACAGCCCGGACCTCTTCACCGTTAAGAAAAAGCAGACTATAAGCAGAGTTCCACAATTCGTCACTTTTAGCCAGATGTGCTGTTTAGAAGACTTTGCTTGATAGACATGGGTCTATCTTGCCGTCTTCATTCTAGAGGGAACAACCAAGTTGACAATGCCAAATATGCAATATATGGGAGCCTTTGTACAGTTGTTTGCAGCCTATGTCAGACATTTATTCGGAGTACGCCTGGTCGTTCACAGTGGTCAGATAATCATCGGGCCCTTAAGTCGGTGCGAAACGATTTATCCATTCACAAACTTTTCCAGTTTGGTTTGTGATTGCTCAGATTTATACAGGCATGCATTTTGGTCGCAAGATATAAAAATAGATTACTTGCTGAATGTTGGGATGTGGATGATGTAGACCAGTTTGAAAGTTCTGTGATAAAACATATCATATACAACTCACCATGTGACTCTGCCCTGTGGCAGTATGTAGGAAACATGATGTACCCAGTGTTGCAAAGAGCGATCAGCCAGCTTTTCCATTGGCAACGGTTCGTACTCCTCGTTTCTCACATAGTTTTGTCGTTCGCCTTCCTCCTCATCTAGAGCTTCCTCTTCCTCCTCCTCACCAAATTGGTAGAAGCCTTCTGGAGAAATGTGGGTTGCTGCGCTGATGCGAGCAATCTTTGCGCGTAGGTAGTTTGTCTCCGTTCCGGGAAACGATGGTGTGCTGTCTACCTTGGCATCCAAATTACCGGTAAAAAGGCAACAAATCTGCGTGGAATGGATTATTCAAAAACTACCCGTGTAAGGATTCTGGCTTCAAGATACTGCATGCAACATGAGCGTTATAAAGTCCGCGAAAACTGTCCTTATGTGCATACAGTCTATCACTCAAAACGCTCGCGTTAACGTTGAGTACTTTTGGGAATCTCCACTATATAATTCGGCACTGGCCAAAGATAATGGACGTTTCGTTAAGCTCACCATGAATTAAGTAATATACATTAAATCGAACGTATAATTCAGCAATGTGTGCTAGCCAGAATTTGATGGTGACAAATAATTTCCGCGGATGCTCGTGTAGCACTATTGGTTAAATATATTCGTCGCTCAGAACGTGAACAGCTCGAGTTGCCACAGACCTACTCCGTATTGAGGCAGAGTTTTACCTAATAAAGCGCTCTAACGCCAGCAAGCGAGATTCCGAAGTAAACTTATCGGTTATAATGGTTTGGGCTGTTATCAAATCTTGTTTGTGACAGATACTTGCCGTTTATTTGGTTTGTTTGGCCAGAAATATATCCCAAGACAATCTAAAGGCTAAGAAGTAGCACTTGACTGTGGTGGATTTCAATAATTTAGTACCCTCTGTACCAACACAGGTGTCATTATTTTGGCGTATCCGTCATACATTAAGGTCCTGCATGAACTGGTTTTCTTTTGCATTTCCTACCAGAAAATGGGTTGCGGATCCACTGGAAAGTTGAGGCTCCCGTCTTATATCGGCAGTTGTTGCTGTTAATACCGCCTGGTAATTCGAAATTTGGGTAACTAGTCGGTGGACTAGTTGGTCAAGGCGCAAGTTTTCCATAGCTGCGACTGCCTGAACGCTGTTAAATAAAATAGGGTTGTCCTTCGGCAAGTTATTTGGGCTGGAAGTTTTGTCAGGATATTTTTTGTTCGACTGTGCGCCCTTTGGGCTTAAACTTACAAGGATATCTAGAGCTGCTGCAGGGTTATAAGCTGTGCTTGAGACGGTGCCTTTCCAGAGCCTATGCTGAGTAAATTTTAGCTGATCATACGATGTCAGATAATACCAAGTTCTAATCTTACAGAACACACCGATATTCTGAAAAATCCAGCTAGCAAATCTGTGTCCCAAAAAAATTCCTTTATAATCCCCATCCTCCTCGTGTGATAACGCCTTTCTGTCATTTGGATGTTCACTGAAATACTATCAAACTTAACCCAGTAGTTTTTTATCGTCATCATAAGTGTTGACCGAGGTGTTCCATTTTAGTGCAAAAACAAATGTGCGTAAGTTCACTTCTAAAGCCCCAAACGCTGAACACACTTGACAGGAGGAAAGATTAATCTAGTGTACCACTGCCATTTTAAGGTGCTCATGTCTACATTGACGTATACTATTTGTACATTTCTTTCCATTCAGTTAATAAACCAAATCGTATAGACCAGATGTACGACCTTAACTTACAGATCTTGAGAGTCGAATCTGCTCAGGAGTAACTGGAGGAAGTCTGATCCAAGGCAATCCTGGTTCTTGACACACGAAATATACCTTTTTATTGGCCCCGGTGTGTGTTGGTTCTTGAGGCACTTTTGGAGGTGGTTTCCATCTTGATTTGGGGTAAGTTTCTACATTTTCTTCTGTTTGAAACGAAAAGAACAAAAATGGATGTCTACAATTGCATGCGGCTGTGCGCAAGTTTAGATATTATTAATTTTTGGAGTTCTCTGGCAAAAGCGATAAACCATTGACCAATTCTCCAAAAGGAATCAAATTTGCATCCATTACTCTACCAAGGCAACCAGTGGTGAAAATAAAGACTCTGACCATTTTTATTTTCCATAAATACGCGACCAAAATTGTTGTGTGTGCACTGTCATTAAGGTGACCAGTTGTTTTTGAGCATTAGCACATTTCCAGCATTCCGGTTAGTCTACCCGAACCCGGATAATTCGCTAATAAATACATATTTTTGAGACTAAATGCGCACCCCTAGCGGAAATGTAACACAAATGCTCTAAAAATTGTGTTCCACTTTAGGAGCAAAGAATCACTGCGGAACAAAACGTTTTCTGGGTGAGCACCCAAATGAAAAGTAATTTTATTTTTTTGTGAGATGTAAATCAAGGTCAGCGGGATCTGTCGTCAATGATGGCCTTCATTTGAATATATTACACAAAGCCTGCCCCTTAAATTTTACGTGGATCGATTTTCAGCCATCGTTCCCTTATTGTTATGACTCTTTTCTCATCATGGACACATGTCACTTGGCTCTTGGTCTTTGCCTAGATATTATTGTACGCATGCGACCTAACTTCTTCAACGCTCGTTTAAACATTTGGGTAATTTATCAAATTCAACTTAATTAAAAGTTGATTATATCCATCCACCAGAGTTCATTAATGTGTTGTAGCAGACAATTTCATTTTATTTTGACGACGATCTTGTGACAGTTTTTTTCTGCTCGTAACACCAATGATTTTTCCTTCAAGGAATCAACCGCACAAAAGGTAACTTCGACTATTTTTCCATACAAAATTCAAGATAAAGCAACCAAGTGCCAAACTTCTGACAAACCAACAAAAACCATAAACGAACCTCATGGATTACTCAGTCACTGGCTGAAATAATAAGGTGTACAAAAGGACAAACAGTTCACAGGCGTTGAGTACTGGCATAATGTATGGTCTGACAAGATCTCTCTCCATTTAACCCACTATATCTAATTCGGCATTAAACATAACACGAAAATTCGTCGGAATTCTTCAGCAGTTTTGCAACAATCCTTGGTGTTTCAGTGCCGTACTCGTGAGTACCATGCCAGAATCAGTGACGTCATTGTCAGCTGGATTCAAAGTACGTGCATTATGCAACTCGTTAGGCCTTGTCTCAGTGGTCTTACGCACAAGGCGACGTACAGAATGTACAGAAATTTTGCAATATGTCTGGAGTTGCACCAGTATTTTAGAAATTTTCCTCAGCAATTTAAGATCATCCTGGAAAATACCATGATTCTCTGGGAGGCACGATGGTCCAATCGTACGCATGGTTCCTCTATGTTCGAACCTGTACAGATAGAGTAATTTCTTTGAGCACACAGTCCACTCCTGTTTTCATTTACCGGCCGCGGTTGGTGTTCATACGTCGTGGTTCTGTACATTCTTTTTGAAGTCTAAGCGCCCTGTATCATCAAGTCATAATTTCCGATGCATTTTCGAAATGAGCGTTTGATATCCCGTCACTTTTACAGAGCCGACAATTGTTTATGTAGTAACCAGCCAAATCAAGAAGTGATCGGGATCATAAGTGGCCACTTGAGACACCAATGGCAGCCCAAATCTTAAGTGCCTTACATTCTCATTTAACAATAATGTCCCATTTAAGTGCCTAATTACGGGTTCTCAAAGCAGGAAACAGTTTTACATGTAACTTTCCAGCTAAGAAACTGTTCCGCGTCTTTGAGTTTTTCTACCGGTGTTCAATATTGATTTTTTGGTTGTAATTTCTTTCATAAATGACACTTATCACCCGCAATTATGTGGTGCTCATTACAAGTCAAATTCCCGGAGACTTTTTCTCTGTTTTGTGATTTGCCAGAATCACTTCTTTATATATATATA